TCCGTCGGCCGGTCTACGGTCTCCACCAGGCGCCACGTGAGTGGCACGACACACTGAGAACGACGCTTGCGGCCCTTGGGTTCGCCCCTTTCACTGCTGACCCGTCGCTGTTTCTGCGCACCGACACTTCGCTGCCGCCGTTCTACATCCTTGTGTACGTCGACGACTTGGTCTTTGCCACTGCTTACACTGAGGCTCTTGCCCTGGTGAAGTCGGAGCTGCAGAAGAGACACACGTGCACAGACATGGGTGAGCTGCATAGTTACCTTGGCTTGCAGATCACCCGGGACAGAGCACGCCGCACCATCACACTGACTCAGTCACACATGGTGCAGCAGGTCCTTTAGCGCTTCGGCTTCTTCGGTCCTCGGCACAGGCCATTCCTCGGCCTACAGGCCACTCGCTCTCAGCTCCACCTTCGGACGAGTCCGTAGAGCCGAGTGGTCCGTACCCAGAGCTAGTGGGCTGCCTCATGTACCCGATGACCTGCACTCGTCCTGACCTTGCGTACCCTCTTGGCCTTTTGGCTCGCTACGTGGCTCCTGGTCGGCACCGAAAGGTGCACATGGATGCTGCTAAGAGGGTACTTCACTACTTGTGCAGTACATCGGGCATGGGGCTCGTGCTTGGAGGATGGGGTGTCGTTGTCCTCACTGGACACTCTGACGCATCTTGGGTTGACGACCTGGCTACGCAGCGGTCGTCACAGGGTTACACCTTCAGCCTTGGTTCCGGCTCTGTTTCCTGGCGGTCTGCACGCTCGTCTTCTGTTCTCAGTTCCAGTTGTGAGGCTGAGATCTACGCCACAGCCATGGCTGCACAGGAGTTACGCTGGCTTACCTACCTGCTGACTGACTTGGGAGAGCAGCCTCGTTCTCCTCCGGTTTCGTACGTAGACAACAAGGCCGCCATTGCCTTGTGTCAGGAGCACAGACTGGAGCACAGAACGAGGCACATCACTCTGCGTTAGTTTCTGGCTCGAGAGTTGCAGCAGCGTGGTCAGCTTCGTCTTGCTCACGTGGCCACTCGGGCCAACACTGCTTATATATTCACCAAGGCACTTCCGTCTGGTGATCATCAGCGCTTTTGTACTTTGTTAGGTCTTGTGCCTACGTTTCCTCACTTGGTGTAGGCTTTGCTTGTACTATGATCTACATATATATACCTGCATGCTTACTCTTGCTAGGTAGTGATCACTGTACTGCTGGTGTTCCATATATACCTCTGCATGTGAACTGGCCTTGTGGCCCTCTGCTTGTGCTCGGTGTGTGTGGTGACGTTGTGATCCACCCCGAGCTTGCTTTGCTTTTCTTGACAGGTCTTGTGACCCCTTGTTCTCCCCCACTTTGCCTATGGGGGTGTGTCAAACTATATGCCTATGTTATAATGGCCCTGTTCGGTAGCCCCCCCAGTCTCACTGCGGTTGGTGCAGGTGCTCTTCCTCGGCCCAATGTCGACTCACCTTAAAGCCCACCAAACCGTTATTAGAACACCATACCTGCCCAGTGCAACTTGGCTACCGAACGCGTGAAAAACCCAGTCCGAGTGAAGTTGAGGACGCTACCACGAAAATGCTTGCTCAGGTAAGCTCGACCGCTAGTGAGAGTCAACCCCATTTCTACTTTCCAGTTCCACTCAGGCAGGCCCGCTCTGAGTGGCACGCTGTAGGGGAAACGCTGCATTAGTTTTGAGTCGGGTCAAATCATGTTTTTCAGCCCGCTCGTTCAAACAATGAGAGATCGTGCCCGTTCGTGAAATTCTTTTATCCATATCGAGTGTGTTATATTTGGCGGGCTGTTTTTTGTTTGTGAGCTGGGCAGCCTCGTACAAAAGTAAAAGTTTCGACCAGTAATTTCTCGAGAATCACACTGTAACTTCTTGCGTTTGTGGACGAGACTTCCTTTCAGTGTGAGTGGACGCCCGAGGCTACGAAACATGTCGTAGGCTTCCCCAGTTCGAGTGGGCCCAGTGTGACTGGAAGGCTACCGAACAGGGCCAATGATATGTAGGCTTTAGTGGGGTAGCTATTGTAGGGTATAGGTTTTATTACTTGTACCCAACTCTCTCGACATTAATCACACCTTTTCCTTCCCTTTACTCTCGACAGAGGGCAGGTTTCAAAGCAGTATGGGAGGACAGGGGAATAGCCTTCCAGCCACCATAAAAGGGGATAAGGGGGGTGGGGTTACAATGGTAGCTCTCTACACTATTACAATCCCAAGTGGGACTTAGCGAAGGATCGCTCCAGGTTGATCGCATAGTAGTGTTGCAGCGGAAGTAGCGAACTCAGGTCAGAGTGAATGTAAATGACTGAGATTGATAATAGCATGCATACATCGAGTTTATATAAGAGTACAAGGGAATACGAAAAGACCTAGACTAGCCCTGTACTCTAAAGGGTACACTCCGTTATTGCAGCAAATTCAAATCGTGCGGCGCGGGAACCTGTTTCAAACCTGTTCCCGCTCTTTTCACTTTGAATGTTTCTGCGTGCATCGGTCTTGATCCGACGGTTACCAGTGTCCCTTCGACTCTTCTGACTCCTCGACTTCGTACTCGGTAAAGTCGGCTCCTGCAGCATACATGAATGCCTTCTCATAAAGTTTAATATCGTAACATACACCCTCCTAGCTCCAGTTACGACTGAGGATGTATGTATGCATGTAGTATACTTACATCCACCAATATATATATATATATATATATATATATTGCTAGTTTGTAATCTAAAGGTCAAGAAAATTTGATAAGTGTTTTTCCTGGACGACCATTGGTGTTCAAACGAAATTTACTGTGTGTGGTATTTCTGGGGTGGTGTGTGGCTTCTGTTTCATCCCCTAATCGCAGGTTTGATACAGTTCAAACAATCAGTTCTGCCATGCAGAGGTCGCACCTGAGGTGACAGGCACTAGCCAATTCCTGTCCTTTCTGAAATCACCTGATGAGTCGCCGAAGTCCTTTCATGGAAAGAAGCACTGTTTGTTAATCTTGGTTAACCTAATCCTAAACCCGAAAACTCTTTTCTTCACCTCGACAATAGCTTCTGCGCAGAAATTCGTCGATGCGGAAACACATGTCGACAAACTGTAATGAACTCCTAGGCCTGTTTTGAGATCTCTTGTCAAGCTCAAACCTTCCTCGAAGTAGACTTTGAAACACTAGGATTTCGAACGGTTTGCATGCCACCTTCCCCGATATATTTCGAACGGAAAACTACCACCTGCCCTTGTTCCTTCCACCGTAGGATCTTGCCTGGCCAACAACCTGAACTGCTCTTCCTTCCTGCCTCGCTCGCACGGTCGCGCCTTGTCATCAGGGGTGAAGGGGAGGTCTCTCTCGGGCCAACCTAAATCTGCTCCGTCCTTTCTCGTGTCGCGCTGGAGCCTCGGCGGCACCTGCAAGACACGGGGTGAACCCGTGAGATGATGAAATCTCATGGTCGGAAGGAACAGAAACGGAGCGCCCGAATGGAGCCGCGGGCCCCCTAATGTTACGGTAATCCCGCACCCGCACTGTTCTGTGCTGTACGCTCCGCCCTCCCCGCTGCTCTGCTTCTCCCCCCTCTCGATCAGCCCTTTCCTTCCTCTCCTAGCTGCTCCTCATCTCCCATTGATGGTCCGTACAGTCGTTAGTAACAGTTTGTCATACAGTTGTTTTGTAGCACTTACGTTCTTAATCTCCCTAGAGATTAAGTCCCCGATCACACGGTTCACCCAAGTACCTAGTTAGTAGTGAAAGGTATCTAGTTAGTACCCCGTCTTTCCAAATTACGCGAAGTTCTCGAACTAATCCCCTGTTTTGACTCCACGTGTCACATGCGGGAGATACATACGTTTTCTATTTGAATCCATCCCATGCGCTGACTCCCAACGTGTCGCGATTCGTCTCGCAAGACTACATCAGCCATTTCGTGATCGCGTAGAAAATTATCGCAACGCCGTCAGCTACTAGCGTCGTAGGCGCTGCCTCCCTGACGTTGTCGTGAAAAAGCGTTGCCTCCTCGACAGTACGATGGCTTCACACGGCGTAACCGCGAGTCGGGCCCTCTGTTTATTAGTGTCCATTATCGTGTATGTCAGCGGCGGCGCCAGCCAAATGCTGACAGACGGCCAAGGTATTGCCGAACCCACCAACACCCGTTGGGAACTGTAGGGGTAGGGCCCTCTGTTTATTCGTGTCCCTTATCGCGTATGTCAGCGGCGCCGCCAGCCAGAGATGCTGACAGACGACAAAGGTACATTGCCGAACCGAAAGGGGGAGTGCTCCCCCTTTCGCCAAAACCGGAGTTTACGACGCCGCTGTCGCGCCTCGGCGGAGGAGCTACAGTACTGTGAGATATGTGCCGAGTAGTGGAACAGGGTAGGCAGAACCAACCTAACAGGCAGATGCCTAGTACGTCAGTAGCAGCCTACCGAGCGCTGCCACCCTGTTCCACTTAGAAGTGCTTCGCTACCCTGGACTTTGAAGATGTTTAACGCCCTGTCAGTTTCTTCGTGTAATAAGATTGTTATTTAGACGTCTCAATCAACCCCTTGTTACAAGTGCCTGCCAAGCGCTGTCACCCTTTTCCACGTAGACTGTGATTCGCTACCCTGGGCGTTTGAGAATGCTTCACACCCTGTCAGTTCTTCCGTCTGAGACGCTAGTAGAAAGGGACGGTATTGCAAGAAAATTTGAGTATCGAGCTCGGCCAGTGTTGCTCTCTACTGGTGTGATTTTCCTGGTTCAGTGGGAGCAGCGGTGCCGCGCCTCGGCCGAGCAGCCAACACAGGGCTGGAACATATCCGTTTCGCAGAGCTGCCTTGTTTTTTTTGGTAATCATACCCTCCAGTTCTCTCTTTGCTGGTGTCTCCTACCAGTGAAGCTGGAAAAGGGTCTAACGGACAAGGGCTGGAATATATCGGCTCCGCGGGACTGCAGCATGTGATTACGCTCCCGTTAATGCTGCTATTTGCGGCTGCTCCCTGCTGTCTGCTCCCTTCCCTTGCATCTCCTGGCAGTGAAGCTACTCCTATCGTTCAAGGCGGCATCGGGACTCACGGACAAGGGATGGAACATATCAGCTCCGCGGAACTGCAGCATGTGGAGCCGAATTAAGTGCAACGCGACGAGCGGCGAAATCACAACACTGTAAGGGCCAGTGAGTTTTCTTCGTTTATCCCACCGCACAACTGCAGCACGTGGAGCCGAATCAAGTGCAACGCGACGAGCGGCGAAATCACGACATTGCAATTATATCGATTTCGGCGAAATCAGCGTCGCTTGTCTTTTGCCCTCGCTGCGTTCCCTGGCTCGCTATCCAGCCTGTCAGCTTTCGCCCGTCGTTCTTCTGAGTCGCCGCATCTGACTCGACGCGTTCTGACTGGACATTATTTTCGCTGCTTGCGCATGCCCGCCTGCCCGACGCGCTGCTCGATTCGCTTTGCCTTGTTCACTTCCTTGCAGATACATCGACGATGGGTCCATTGGAGCCCTGCCCGACATTGTCACACAATTCACTGCTCTCACGTACCTGTGAGTCAGTCTGTCCCCTTCAGTGTCACAATTCACTGCTCTCATGTACCCGTGAGTCACTCTGTCCCTTTTAGTGTCACAATTCACTGCTCTGCTCTCACATACCTGTATGTTGGCCTGTCCTCTTTGTTGACACAATTCTCTGCTGTGCATAACAAGCTCGCCCCTGTGCATCCCACTTTCGCACCATCATGTTACTTCAATCCTTTCCCCCATGCCTGCTCTCCCCATTCCTGCTGCTACTTGCGCTCGCAGCCATTTGAATGTCTACAATCGCTTCTATTCGCCGCCCTCTTTCCGTTCGCCCCTTTTCTTACCTTCAACCTCTATACCTACCCACTCAAGAGCATCACTTATGAATCGACTCAAAAGTCACCTTTTTCCGTTCTACTCTTCTCTTACCTTGAACCTCTATACCTACCCACCCACTCAGGAGCATCACTTTTGAGTCGACTCAGAAGTCACCTTTTCCTGTTCTACCCTTCTCTTCCCTTAAACCTCTATACCCACCCAGGAGCGTAACTCGATCGAAGGTGCCTACCACCATTGATGAGAAGATCTCAGCCATCAAGACAATGACCCAGCTGCGTTACCTGTGCGTCCACTCCACCACACTGCACTGCACTGTACCGCACCGCACCACCTCCTGCGCACGAATCTCCAGCCAGCTCCTTTCGCACCTCTCGTATGCATCTCAGAAAGCGTCCCTGACTGACTGCTGTCTGTCCCCTCTGTCACCTGTCTATCATACCATGTGTATCTGCTTCCCTTCCTCTCATCTGTCTCACACAGGAGCCGATTTTTGAGTCGACTAAAAAATCGTCTCAGCGTCCCTGACTGACTGCTGTCCCTGTCGCCTGTTTACCATGTGTGTCTCTGCTTCCCTTCCTCTTATCCCTCTCTCGCAGGAGCCTCGGTTCCAACTGGTTCTACTCTTCCATCCCTGAGTGGCTTGTGCAGCTGCCCCAGCTCCGCTACCTGTACGTGCACAGCCTTTCATGTTAGTGCCATAGGGTAACCTGGTAACCCTGCATTGTCTCCAACTGGTTCTACTCCTCCATCCCAGTGTAGCTCGTGCAGCTGCCCCAGCTCCGCTACCTGTACGTGCGAAGAGGGCACTGTCGTTGTTGCTGCAGTAGAGTCGCAGTTGATGAGTCACACTGTGGTTGTTACAGGGTAACCGCGTCATTCTACCTCTACTCACAGCGGCCTACTCCTCCATCCCCGCGTGGCTCGCCAGCTGCCCCAGCTCTGTTACCTGTACGCGCACAGAGAGTCATGCCAGTGCCATAGGATAACCGTCTTTGGAGACGTCTAAAAAAAAATCAAAAGTTTTGAGACGTCTCAAAAGTCGTGTGGCTCGCCAGCTGCCCCAGCTCCGTTACCTGTACGTGCACAGAGAGTCATGCCAGTGCCATAGGGTAACCCAGTAACAGCATGGTAACCCTGTGATTGTTACAGGGTAACTGTGTCATTCTACCTCCTCTCCCTTGGCCCCTGCTCTTACCTTCGCTTCCTGTCCCTTTTTTCCCCCTCCCCTTCTCACCCCACCCCACATTCCCCACTTTCTCCAGCCACCTGCCCTACAACTTTCTCACAGGCCCCATCCCCCCCATCACAGCCCCTCTCAGCTCATTTGACGTCACCAGCAACCTCCTCTCCCTTGCTCTCCTTTCTTATCTCTTCTCCCCCCTCTCCCCATCCCACCCTCCCCCCTTTTTCCTGCCCCACCCACCCACCCCTTCCCCAGTCACCTGCCCTACAACTTTCTCACAGGACCCATCCCCCCCATCACAGCGCCTCTCAGCTCCTTCGACGTCACCAGCAACCTCCTCTCGGGAACCTTCCCCCTCCGCAAAACGCCCATCAAGGCCTGCCTCGCCGCGGGAAACTGCCTCGGAGACGCGTCGGCGTGCGCAGTGGGGGCGGGGCAGCAGCGGGCGGACGTGGGGGATGGGTACTGTGGGGCGGTGGTGGGGGACTTGTGCCGGCCTGCACCAGAGGCAGGGGAGACGTGGCAAGACCAGGTGGCTCTGCGCTGCTCCTCCCGTGAGTCTGGAGTGCTGGGTGGGTGTGTGACTGGTTGGGGTATTGCCCATGTAAGGAGAGGGGGGCGGATGTGGGGGAAGGGTACTGTGAGGCGGAAGCGGGGGAGACGTGGCAGGACCTGGTGGCTCTGCGCTGCTCATCCCGTGAGTTGAGGCTTTTGGGTGGGCTGGTGGGTGGGCTGGTGGGTGCTTGGGCTACTGGTTGGGGGTATGAAGGGCAGCAGGGTAATGGCAGGTTTGACCCGTGCTGGATGCACCCCTCAGGGATGAACCCAATGAAATCCAAAACTCCCGAATGCATTTTGAAATTCACTCAAAACCCAACTCTGCACTATGCCTTGCCGCGTCTCGCTGTGCGCTTCTCTCTGCCCCTTTCCCCCCTTCCCCTACCAGCGAGCGTCGTGTCCGCCACTGATTCAATGGAACCTCTCATGGATGTCAAGAGTATAAAGAACCTATTCTCACAGTGTCTCACCTTGCTCTGCTCCCTCTCTCTGCGCCTTTCCCCCCTTCTCGTACCAGCCAACGTCATGTCTGCCGCTGATTCAATGGAACCTCTGCTGGATGCACCTGAAGAGTTGTTGGAGAATACCAAAGACCCTGAGGAATCACCTCTTCCCACCCCTTTCCACCCCTTCCCACCCATTTCCACCCCTTCCCACCCATTTCCACCCCTTCCCACCCCTTCCCATCCATTCACACCCCTCCCCCTACAGCGGGTGTTATGTCCGCCACTGATTCAATGGAACCTCCCATGGATGCACCTGAAGAGGTGGAGCAGACCAAAGGCCCCGAGGACGCCCCTGTTACAGGCACATCCGTTACAGACACATCTGACAGCACTTCAGACGATGCACTTGATGGTACATCTGAAAGTACTGATGGTTCCTCTACAGGCAGTGGCTCTGGAACGCCAGTGGATACGAAATTCGTGCAGCCTGTGAAGGGGAAGGGCGGTAAGGGTAAGAAGAAGGGCAGCGGGGTGTGTTCGTGCAAGAAGAGTGCGTGCAAGGCGAGTGAGATCTGCGTGAATATGTCGGTTGGCAAACGGTGCAGTGTCAAGTGTATGAAGAAACTGTTTTAAGTCTAGGTGGCTGAGTGGTAGGCTAGCATTGGGGTTTGATTTTTTTTTGTTTTATTTATCAGAATGGGGAGGACGCCGTTTGAGCTGCATTTGAGAACTGCTGTGGTTGTGTTACAATGTGTACTATAAATCTATATGTTGTAATCCTATTTTTAACTCCTATCCTGCAACTTGAAAGCTTGGGTACTCTGAACTGAACGTTACCATCTGGCCTAGAAAAGGGAAGGAATGATGAATGATAAATTGAACAAGCTTATCCAGAGAATTGAAAGTTGCTCTGAACACCTCTTATCGCGTACGCAACACCAGAACCCATGACCGCACTTCCCACCCCACACACCAATCTTAGTGGTGGGTCTCATCTCATCCTAGCCGAATCTCGTTTCTCCTTGACTTGGTTTTCCCGCCAAACGGGTTGTCAGAATGAGCTTTCTGAACCGAGCCGCTTCGCTCTCACACCCACAGACCACTACTTGCTTCCCATGCGAGTCAAGCGCGGCCGTCGCGCGAGATTCGTCCCTTCATCCCCGCTCGAACTCGCTTCTCCGTTCCTTGCAATGCGGTTCGCTGGTTCCTACTAGGAACATTTCCTCCCTGTCTGTAGTTTCCCGCAGTTCGCGGCGCGATTCGCGGTTCATGGCGGCGGGAAATAGCATCGACAGCAGCGGGGGCAACGATGCAGGCAAGGGTCAGGCGGAGGAGGGATCAGGATCGGACGGTTCACAGAGCCTCGCGACGCGGATCCTTCATTATAAGGGCGCGGAATTCGATCCGTACGGAGCCGTCAGCACTCCCATCTACCAAACGGCTACATTCCGTCAGGTTAAACTGTGGCTCCGGGAGTAAAAGGGGAAAACCGGGGTGGGGAAGAGGAGAGAATGATCGAGTGGGGATCGCCAGTGCGCATTGCCAACTGAACCATGAGAGTTAAACATTTGAAGATTTGAGCATTTGAGCATTTAAAGCAGTGCGGCCATGGGAGTTGAACGATTGAAGATCATCTGACTTGGCGATTGCATTGTAGAAAATCAAATGAATCATGAAAACGACACCTCCTTTCAGATTCATGTTGCTAGCAATTCATCCATTTGTCTTCCGAATGCATGCTGCATTTATTTACCCTCTCGCTGTTTGTAATGAGACAGGTCTCCGCGACGGAGAATAATGCGTATGACTACACCCGCAGTGGTAACCCTACGAGGGATGCTCTTGAGAAGTGAGTGTAGAGTGATTGTGAAGAGTGTTAAGTGTGTGAAGTGAGTGTGAAGAAAAAATTCAGGGTTTAAAGTGAAGAGAGAGTCGAGTGGGAGAGAAAAATTACCACACGACTCTCTGTAAGAGATGTGTCGTGTGGGAGAGTCGCATTGAAGTCCACATACTTGAACGTCCCTGCAAGACATTGCACTGAGACGAGGTTTGAGGCGCCTCAAAAGATACCTCTCGCATTGAGATCCACATACTTGAACGTCTCTGCAAGACGTTGCCTGACATATTGATATTACTGGATGGTCTATCTCTGCTGCACTGATGAGAGTCGCCGAGCCTCAATGTTGTCATCCTGCTTTTTTTACTCTGAGAGTTGCGTAGGAAACAGAAGATATCTCTCATAGTTGCTGTCGTAGCAAACACAACTCACGAGGTATCTTCCTTCCTTAGCCTCGTGCCTTCTCACGAGCTGGAGTGGTGCATCGTGCCCTTTCGTTTCCGCTGAAGCGTGTGCGGTTCTTTCTTCCTCTCCACCTTCTTCACTCCCCATGCTTCTCCGCTCATCTCTCCCCTCCTGCAGGCTGCTCACGAGTGGAGGGGGCGCATCGTGCCTTTGCCTGCTCTTTCTTCACTTCCTTCACAACCCCTTTCCACCGTTCGTTCTCCCTGCTTATCCCTCCTGCAGGCTGCTCGTGGAGGTGGAGGAGGCGCATCGTGCTTTTGCCTGCTCTTTCTTCACTTCCTTCTCAACCCCTCTGCACCGTTCGTTCTCCCTGCTTATCCCTCCTACAGGTTGCTAGCGGAGGTGGAGGGGGCGCATCGTGCTTTTGTCTTCAGCACCGGGATGGCGGCACTTGCTGCAGCCACCAGGCTGGTTTCCACTGGTGAGATTTCGTTACCACCGGTGGGATTTTGTTACCAACTGGTGAGATTTCGTTACCACCAGTTCTCCTTATTGCGGGTTATTTTTCGTTACCACTTGTGTGATGTGATTTCGTTACCACAAGGTCAATCTTTGTTACTTCTCGCGAGATCTTCCTCTCGTTGCATTGCCTCCCCTGTCCTGCACTGGTCTCGGACCTTTCAGATGGGACTTTCAGGTTCCTCCATAGTAGCGGGTGTATTTTTGAGGCGTAAAAAATGAAAGTTTCCTCTCGTTGCCTCCGCTGTCTTGCACCGGGCTCTGACATTTCATGTCCCTTCTCACACGGGACTTTCAGGTTCCTCCATTGTAGCGGGTGACGACATTTACGGAGGCACGGACCGGCTGCTCTCAAGAGTGGTGCCTCGTGCAGGTGTTGCTGTCAGGTGGGTCCTCTGTTGCTGTGAGGTGTGCCTTCTGTTGCCCTCAGGTGGGTCTTCTGTTGCTGTCAGGTGGGTGTATTGTTGTTTTCAGGTGGGCCCTCTGTTGCTTCCAGGTGATCTCTTTGCTGCTCTCTGGTTCAGCTTCCACTCTTCGGCCCTACTCCATGCTCCCTCGCACCAGGGGGGTAGACACAACGGACCTGCAAGCAGGGAGGGCGGCACTGCAGCATGGAAAGCCCCAGCAACCAACCAACCATCCCTCGTTTTCCCCTCTGCCTCCCCCTTTGCTGGTCGTTATGGAGAGCCCCACCAACTCCCGTTCGTGCCTCATTTTCCTCACCATCCCTCCCTCTCCCTGCTCTTCCCCCACTTGGCGTGTGGACACTACTGACCTAGACGCAGTGAGGGCGGAAGTGAGAGAAGACACCAAGCTGGTCGTTATGGAAAGCCCCTCTCCTCTCAACCAACCATCCCTCGCTTTCCTTCTCTTCCTTCCCACTGCCACTCGCTCACCCTCCCTTCTCTACCAGGCGCGTGGACACAACGGACCTAGACGCAGTGAGGGCAGCAGTGAGAGAAGACACCAAGCTGGTCGTTATGGAAAGCCCCTCTCCTCTCAACCAACCATCCCTCGCTTTCCTTCTCTTCCTTCCCACTGCCACTCGCTCACCCTCCCTTCTCTACCAGGCGCGTGGACACAACGGACCTAGACGCAGTGAGGGCGGCAGTGAGAGAAGACACCAAGCTGGTCGTTATGGAAAGCCCCACCAACCCGCGCATGATGATCAGCGATATCAGGGTGAGTCAGAGCACCGCACTGTGCTGTACTGCACTGCACCCCACTGGACTGCACTGCACTGCACTGCGCTACACCCCACTGCACTGCACTGCACTGCACTGCGCTACACCCCACTGCACTGCACTGCTCTGCGATGTACCACACTGTGCTCCTGGACCACCGGTCTCCGTCTCTCTGCTGGTCCTAATGGAAAGCCCTACCAACCCTCGCATGATGAAAGCAATGCCTCTTCTCCCTCCCTCCTTCTCTATCTCCAATCTCTCCCTCTCTTCAGGCCATAGCAGAGATCGCTCACTCAGTGGGTGCGCTGCTACTAGTCGACAACAGCATCATGTCTCCGGTGCTCTCGAAGCCGCTGCAGCTGGGAGCAGACATTGTGATGCACAGCGGTACCAAGTTCATCAGCGGGCATAGCGATGTGATGGCTGGGATTCTGGCTGTGAACGACCCAGAGTGAGTGATTGAGTGTCTGAAGGACGTATAGTTGTGCACACAGACGCACGCACCCCAGTCACTGTCGCAGCTGCTGCAGCTGGGAGCAGACATTGTGATGCACAGCGGCACCAAGTGCATCAGCGGGCATAGCGACGTGATGGCTGGGATACTGGCTGTCAACGACCCAGAGGGAGTTTGCGATACGCACTCACACGCTCACAAACTACTACCCACTCGCACCAACTTACACACACACACACACACACACACACACACACACACACACACACACGCACACACACACACACACACACACAAACTACTACCCACTCTCACACCAACGCATGCACACCCACGAAACGAACACCGTCTGCTCTCGCTGCAGCCGGGAGCAGACAGCCTGGCTAACGAAATATACTTGGTGCAGAACTATTATTTAGGCGCCTCAAAAATCGTCTGCAGCTGAAATATACTTGGAGCAGACAGCCTGGCTAACGATATACACTTGGTGCAGAACGCAGAGGGGAGGGTGTATTTTGAGGCGCCTCAAAATACACCTCAATGCAAGCAGACAGCCTGGCTAACGAAATCTACTTGGTGAGGGCTGCCTTCAATATACTTGGTGCAGAACTATTATTTAGGCGCCTCAAAAATCGTCTGCAGCTGGGAGCAGACAGCCTGGCTAACGAAATATACTTGGTGCAGAACGCAGAGGGGTCAGGGCTGAGATGAGCCCCTTGAAGATCTCTCCTATCCCGATCGCCAACTCCCCTTCCCCTTTTCTTTCCCCCTTTCCTTCCTCCTTTCCCCCCATCCCCCCCCCAGCCTTGCGAAAGAGATCTACTTTGTGCAGACTGCGGAGGGCTCAGGGCTGAGCCCTTTTGGATTTTCCTCCTATCCGTTATCACCAACTCCTCTTTTCCTTCCCTTCCCTCCTCCTTTCCCTTCCTTTCCTTTCCCTTCCTTTCCTTTCCTTTCCCTTCCTTTCCTTTCCTTTCCCTTCCTTTCCTTTCTCCCCCCAGCCTAGCGAAAGAGATATACTTTGTGCAGAACGCAGAGGGATCAGGGCTGAGCCCCTTTGACTGCTGGGTGTGCCTTCGCGGGATCAAGACCCTGCCACTACGCCTGGAGCGGCAGCAGGTGTGTGTGAACGTGTGTGCGTGTGGGATGGGAGTGTGTTGGTTAGTGTGTGTGTGTGTGTGTGTGTGTGTGTGTGTGTGTGTGTGTGTGTGTGTGTGTGTGTGTGTATAGTTGAGAGAGGAAGGGTTCAGGGCTGAGCTGAGCCCCTTTGATTGCTGGGTGTGCCTTTGCGGGATCAAGACCCTGCCACTGCGGTTGGACAGGCAGCAGGTGGGAACGTGGACAGGCATGTGTGTGCGTGTGTGTGTGTGGATGTGGGGGGTAGGTGGAAGGGGACATGTGAGTATGTGTGTGTGTGGATGTGGGGGGTAGGTGGAAGGGGACATGTGAGTATGTGTGTGTGTGGATGTGGGGGGTAGGTGGAAGGGGACATGTGAGTATTTGTGTGCGTGGATGAAGGGGGGGCTGAGCCCCTTTGACTGCTGGGTGTGCCTTCGGGGAATCAAGACCCTGCCACTGTGTTTGGAGAGGCAGCAGGTACATAGGAATGTACTTGTGCATGTGTATGGGTGTTCTATGTCTCTCCCCTCTTTCAAGCTCAACCTTCCTCTGGTTTTTTTTTTTTTTTTTTTTTTTTTTTGCACAGGTCAATGCGCAGAGAGCAGCCGGGTTTTTCTAGAGGATGTTCTGTATTTATCCTCTCTTTCAGTATCGATGCTGTGTTGACACAAGCGCGATGGCCTTGCACTGTCTTGTTGTGTGCAGGCCAACGCACAGAGAATAGCCGAATTCCTGGACGGCCATGCACGAGTAGAAAGGGTGTTCTATGCCGGTCTGCCCACCCATACCAACCGCGACCTGCACTTCTCCCAGGTGCTTTCCCGGCCTCTGCCAGTCACACTGATGGTCTCTTTCTCTGTATCTCTCACAATCACACGGTGCATGTTTGTTTCTGGCAACTCCTCTTTTCGCGAGTGAGAGAGTGTTCTATGCCAGTCTGCCCTCCCATACCAACAGCAACCTGCACTTCTCCCAGGTGCTTCCCCAGCCTAGGCCAGTCACACCCATGGTCTCTCTCTGTCTATCTCTCTATCACACACGGTGCATGATTGTTTCTGTCAACTCCCGCACCCGCGAGTAGTGAGGGTGTTCTATGCCGGTCTGCCCTCCCATACCACCCGTGACCTGCACTTCTCCCAGGTGCTTTTCGGACCTAGGTCCCGAGTCAGGTGATTTACAAGCCCAAGTCTGTAGCCAGGTGTTTCCCCAGCCTAGGTCACAGCCCAGGTGTCTTCACACAGTGCACTGCGTTGAGTGTTTTCTCGCAAAGCACCTGTGCATAAGGAGGTGTGCTCTCTTCTACACCGGTTGTGAGCCATCGCGGAACTTCAGCGAGCGCACTGTTCTATGCTGGTCTGCCTTCTCTTGCCAACCAACCACGCGCTGCACTTCTCCTGCACTTTCAGGTGCTTCTCTTGGTGCCTCTTTCAGGTGTTCTCCCAGGTGCTTATCTCTGGTGCTTCACTCGCATCTTCCAAGTTTTCACTCACTTGCCTCTCCGACCAGACATTGTACTTCCGTTCTATTTCACCTCTTTTAACTGGTGTTTTCCGTTTGTTCGCTTTCATTCTTTCTGGTCTCTTTTGTTTTCGTTCGCTTTTCTCTCATCTGTATGTTTCGCAGGCCAAGGGTGCGGGGTCAGTGCTCAGTTTCACGACAGGCAACATCAACGCGTCGAAGCACATTGTTGAGACAATGAAGCTTGCTAACATTGCTGTCAGCTTTGGTAAGATGGGATACGAGCACTGTTGGGTGGGTGGGATGAGAGCAGTGTTGGTCGAAGTGAGAGCAGTCTTTGGGAGGAATCCCGTTGAGATGAACCACTCTGTTAGCGTTGGTAAGATGAGATGCGAGCGGGGTTTGGTGGCATCTGTTATTTCTTGAATCTGACAGCATGGTGATTGCATTCTGTCGCGACTACTGTTCACACATCTCCCTACTGTGGCTGCATTGCATGTGTGATTGTACTGCATGGTGGCGTGTGACTGTAACGAGGGGGCTTGCAGGCAGTGTGGCGACGTCCATCAGCCTGCCGTGCTTCATGTCGCATGCCAGCATACCAGCGGATGTGCGCAAGGAGCGAGGCCTGGTTGAAGACCTCATTCGCCTCTCTGTAAGCATGCCCGGTCTCTAATCACTCCCCTCTCTCGCCTTCACACTCCCCCCATCTTTAAGTTTGCAGTCTTCGTTGCCATTCTATGATTGATTGCAACTAAAACGACACTATTTGATTGTTTGCAACCTGTTTTATGACAGGTGGGCATTGAGGACGTGGATGACCTTATTGCCGATTTGGGGAATGCCATTGATACAGCTCCTTTCTCTTGATGAAGACATGAACACGAGAAAACAAGCGCACTTATGTTTCACTCGTTTGCATGATAGAATTTATGTGCACCGCAGAGTTACCATGCATTCTGATTGCATGCTATCGAAAAGCCTGGTTTCCTAGGATGACTATATCTTCCTATTCAAATCAAATGAAATCATTTTGTTCAAAAATTTTAAATAATTTGGTAGTATGTAAAGCTTTTATACACTAGTCCGCTACAGCTGGCAGTGAAATGGGTAATCTTCATGCAAGCCTATCACTCCGCTTCGATGATGTCAGAATGGCGTGTCTGATGTTCCCACGAATCTTCCATTGTCCCAACCCGTTTTGCGGCTGGCACGGCTCGCTGTATTTCGTTCTCGTTAACCCGGAAGATTCGGGCAGTTTATACCGCCGTCTGAACTTGCGGTTCTTTACTGTTCGATTGGGCTCTGAAAGTGGGGATCAAAACCAAGACGCTTCTTGTTACATGACTGATTAAACGTTGGTCAGTTGGCTAAGTACAGAACCTGAATACTAAAATATATACCAATTGAGAAACATTTCAGCCTGGAACCATTGAGAGTTCCCCGCCATCCAGCTCCTTGTTTCGCCCATGTCTTGTCTCAAACATCAGGAAAAAGGGAGAACAGGATGCTCAGCTTACCCCATTTATATTCCTCTTCAGAACTCCTCACCGCAACTCACCTCACCACACCAGAGCATAGCAGCTTGTGTTTTGACTTCCTGATCACGTCAGTGCAGCACCCCCCAAACAGCAGGCAGACACAGAGCACCCCACAGGAGTAAACAGGGAATCTAATTTGTGGGAATACTAATTTCGCCGGCCTTTTTGGTTTCTATCCACCATAGACCTAGCTCCAGCAAATTACCTACGAGCCTTCGTCGTCGTTTCGGGCAAGTGGTTTCGCAATGGTTCTTGTGGGTGTTGTCTAAGCCGCGTTTTTTGGTTACCCTAGTCTTAGGATCACGGCGTATAACCTTTTTCGTTTCTTATTCTCAAAAGGACCGGTTTATAGCATGCGAACGCGCCTCCACCGTCGATTTCAACTTCATCGCTTCATCGCCGCTCATGGAGGAATTTATAGAAGCGATCTGGCCGCACCTCTTCCCGTCCTGGTTCGAAGCATTAACCGCGTTAATGGCAGCCTCGTTTGTAGCCTTTCTCCTATATCTCACCCAACCCGAAGGCAGCGGGGAGAATCCCTCCCCAGACGACGCTTCGGCCGCGTCTGCCGGGAAAACCGGCGTGAATGGCGCGGAGGAAGAGGAGGAGGCGAACTGGGAGGAGGCGAGCCGACGTGTCAGGGAGCAGCAAGCTCGCGCGTTACTCGCGGCGCCGGATCCGCTCACCGCCGCTCTCGCAATCCCCGTGCGCCAGCTGGCAGCCGTGGATTCGAAGAGAATGGCCGCGGTTCCGGTTACCGCCCAGCCGCTGCTAGGACTAAGTTCTAAGGAGGTAGTTAAGAAGGGGATCGGGTCTAGAACGCGGCCCAGGCAGGATATAATGCAGTTAGCGGTGGCGACGGGGGTGGGGGGAACTGGTGGAGGGGGGAAAGGGGGCGTGGATGGGGGGCTGGTAGGAGGAGGGAAGGGAGGGGTGGAGGTAGGAGGGAGGAGAGGAGGAGGGGATGGGAGAAGTGCGAGTGGGCCTTTAGCTGCTTCGACTAGAGCCGCTGCTGGTGCTGTTGCGGCTGCAGCGGGTGGGAACATCCAGGACGAAACGCTTATACCCGTGGTGAGTTTGTCAATAAGGGGTACTACCGTCGTATTATATATTTTATTCCTCGTGCCCTGCTCTCCTCTTTCCCCCGCGGGCTACGTTTCCTTCCTCTCCACCTTTCTGCCGAATCGACCTTTTTTACCTTTTTTCCTACTTCTTTCTTTCTTTCCATTTTTTTTTAGTGTTATTTTCGTGTGGAATTCTGGCGCTCACCATGCTGCATGTCCAGATTTAAATCAAAACCCTTCGCCTCCCATGATCTGTCCTCACTGTAATTTTCTCCCCGATATCTATGTATGTGTGATGTTAAGTTTTATATCTGTCTTCCATATTGTCTAAACCCCAGTCAAATTCAAAACGCTTCGCCTCTCAACCCCCCGGCCACCCTCCTCTCCCCGACCCCTCCCGCGGCGGTCTCCCAGGCCATAATCCCCAGCCAGTCCCTGTCTTGCGCGGACACCCTCCCCCCTGCGCCAGTCCCCCTTAGCACAGCAGTCTCCGCTGCTCCCGCTTCCGCCACTGCAGGCGGGGATGGGGAGGGGGAAAGGGGTGCCCTGGGGGGGCATACGCGCACAGGAGGGTCCCTGGGATACCTGTCCCCACCGAATAAAGGTGCTGCTGTTACTACTAATTCTGGTGCCGCTGGTGATTTAATCAACGGCCCAGATTTGGCCAGTGGTGGAACTCCTGACAGGGGAGCAGAGAAGGGGAGGCGGCCGGAGGGGATCCAACGGTCAGTGTCGGACACGGAAGCGATCTCAGCCGGATCAACGGCTGGTGGCGCTGCGTTTTCTGCTGCAAGAACAGGGGGAGGAGCAGGGGGAGGCACGAGGGGGGAAGGGGGGGGAGGGGGGATTGGTGGAGTAGGTGTGAAGGTGGAAGTAGCTGCAGAAAGGGCTGTGTCTCCTGTGGCGCCTCAACCCATGATCTATGAAGTGAAGGTGAGTTCTGAAGGGGAATTGAGTTTCGAAGTGAAAGTGAGTTGTGATGTGAAAGTGAGTTATCAAGTTTGTTTTCGAATGAAATGAAAGTGATTTTCTCAAACCCCCTTCCTTCCTCTCCCCAAGGTCGATCTGCCAGCTGTCAAGAACCTGCCGGCTGCAGATATCAGCAGCACTGTGGATCCCGCACCCCTCATCCCCCAATTCTGAACCTCCTCGTCCTCCCCCTCCTGTTCGCCTCCCCCTCCCCCCTCCCCCCTTCCCTCCTCTCCCCAAGGTCGATCTGCTAGCAGCAATGAACCTGCCGGCTGCAAATATCAGCGAAACTGCGGATCCCGCATCCCTCATCCCCCAATTCCGTTCCTCCTCCTCCTTCCCCTCCTGTTCACTTCCGCCTCCTCCTCCCCCCTTCCCCCGCTCTTCCTCCCAAAGGTCGATCTGCCAGCTGCCAACATCAGTGGCACGGCGGATCCTGCATCATGTCCCAATCCCCCTCTCCCCCTCTCCCCCCCCTCCCCCCCCCCCCTCTTTCCCTCCTCTCCTCTTAAAGGTCGATCTGCTGGCGGCTAAGAACCTGCCAGCTGCCAACATCAGCGGCACAGCAGATCCCTACGCCATCGTTTCTTGTGGAACAGAGCGGAGATTCAGGTGTGTGTGCTGCTTGCATGGGCGTGTGGGTGAGATGTGTGCACGCATGTGTGTGTGGGGAGAAGGGGGGGGGGGGGGGGGGGAGGAGGGAGGGGAGGGATTCGTGCCTGTGTCTCTCTCTCCCCCCCGTCTACCCCAACCCCTGCTCCGCCCACGTCCCTTCAAAATGATGCCAACGCTTCCTGCCACACCCCACTCTGTCATGTCATCCCCAGTTCCCGCAATCCCATGTGGGCAGAGGAGTTTTAATCTGTGCGGCACAATCCCGGACCGACACCCTCCGCCGTCCCCTTCTCACCTCTTCCCAACCCTCTCCCAATGCTGCTTCTGTCCTCTCCGCCCCACTCTAGCTCCGTCATCCCCTCCAGTCCTCCAACAGTGTGTAGTAAGTCGATTTTTAAGTCGACTCAAAAATCCGTCATCCCCCCAAGTCCTCCAACAGCCCCATGTGTGGGCGGATGAGTTTTGCGCCGGTGCTGCACGGTTCCTCACACTCTTCCCCTTTCCCATCCCCTCTCACCCACCCTCTCTGCCCCACACCAGCTCCCGCAATCCCATGTGGGCGGGAGAGTTTCGCTTCTGTGCTGAACAGTCTCACGCACTCTCCGCCATCCCCTTTTCCACCTCTTCCCAACCCTCTCCCATCCCCTTTCTGCCCCACACCAGTTCCGTCATCCCCAGCTCCCGCAATCCCATGTGGGCGGAGGAGGTTCTCTTCTGTCTGCTGATGCATAGTCCTGACTCCGGAGCACTCCTCTCCACCCTTCTATGCCTCTCCCACGTGTAGAGAGGGTGTTTTTGGGACGTCTCAAAAACACCCTCTCTACACGGAGCACTCCTCTCCGGCCTTCCATGCCTCTCCCAGTGCCTCTTTTATCCTCTCTGCCCCACACCAGTTCCGTCATCCCCAGCTCTCGCAATCCTATGTGGGCGGAGGAGTTTCGCTTCTTTGCCCCCTGCCTGCCCGCGCTGGTGAGTGCTGTGCCCACTCTTGAGGCGCCTCAACAGTAGATCCCATCCCTTGTGAACGGAAGAGTTTCGCTTCTTTGCCCCCTGCCTGCCCGCGCTGGTGAGTGCTGTGCCCACTCTTGAGGCGCCTCAACAGTAGATCCCATCCCTTGTGAACGGAAGAGTTTCGCTTCTTTGCCCCCTGCCTGCCCGCGCTGGTGAGTGCTGTGCCCACTCTTGAGGCGCCTCAACAGTAGATCCCATCCCTTGTGAACGGAAGAGTTTTGCTTCTTTGCCCCCTGCCTGCCCGCGCTGGTGAGTGCTGTGCCCACTCTTGAGGCGCCTCAACAGTAGATCCCATCCCTTGTGAACGGAAGAGTTTCGCTTCTTTGCCCCCTGCCTGCCCGCGCTGGTGAGTTGCTTTTTGAGTCGACTCTAAACGAGTTTCGCTTCTTTGCCCCCTGCCTGCCCGCGCTGGTGAGTCCTGTGCCCGCTCGTGCTTTTGTGCCCACTCGTGCATTTAGACGTCCTCGAAACTAGCTTACGTGGTGTTACTTTTGAGATTTCTCACAAGTAACATGACTCAAAGCTAGCTCACGCATACCTACGATTGGGACACAGAACACATACATACTTCCAAGAACACAAAACTTGGAGCAGCCTCCTTGATTCGTGGCTTTCATGTGCTTATGCTGTGGTGTGTGTGCGTGTGCGTGTGCACGCACATGTTGTGTGCACGTTCATGTGTGTGACCGCATGCAGGTATCAGTGCGCACGTATGATTGGGACATCATATCCAAGAACGTAGAGCTCGGTGCGGCTTCCTTGCTGGTGGAATGGAAGGAGATTCTTTTTGGGCTGACTAGACTGAGTCGTTCTTTGTGTGTTTGTGTGCGTGTGACTGTGTCTGTATGGAATCGTCCACGCAGGTATCAGTGCGCACGTACGATTGGGACATCATATCCAAGAACGCAGAGCTCGGTGCGGCGTCCCTGCTGGTGGAAGGAGAGGCTCTGCCCTTCACCGCCTGGTACCCCCTTGACAAAGGCATGGGGCAGGTGAGAACTGGGGCAAGTGAGGACTGGGGCAGGTGAGGACTGGGGCAGGTGAGGACTGGGGCAGGTGAGGACTGGGGCAGGTGAGGACTGGGGCAGGTGAGGACTGGGGCAGGTGAGTGATCCTTCTACTTTCTGTGAGCTTTTTTATAATTCTCAAGGCACACATCTCCCCTGATGGTGGAGGGAGAGGCTCTGCCCTTCACTGCTTGGTACCCCTTGACAAGGGCCTGTGGCAGGTGAGGGCATAGGCAGGTGAGTGAATTGTTTTTATACTGCGCGTTTTTCCAGGCGTTTATCTGGTTTGCCAGGCGAAAAACGCCCAGCTACTCCACACGTTCCCCTCCTTCGCCTCTTTCTCTTCTCTGCCTTATTTCGTTCTTGCAGGTGTGCTTGCAGCTGCAGGTGACAGCAGTGCCAAGGAATAAAGCTGACAGGTACATGCGATTCCGCCCGTTCTGCCTGTCCTGTGCTGTGCTGCCCCGATCAGTTTATCTGGTGCGTTCTTCACTTTCTAGTGTGTGTGTGTGTGTGTGTGTGTGTGCGCGCGCGCGCGTGTGCGTGTGCGTATGAGTGTGTGTGTGTGTGTGTGCGTGTGCGCGCGTGTGTGAGTGAGTGAGTGTGTGTGTGTGTGTGTGTGTGTGTGTGTGTGTGTGTGTGTGTGTGCTACGCCTATGCGCCGCTGAGAATTTCCAAAAGTGACTCTTCCTCCTGATTGCATGAAACGATTCATGCATCCGATTGTGTCTCTCTCCTGCCTGCATTCCTTGCTGCTGCGTTCCTCCTCATTTGCTTTCTAAGCAGCCCCTCAAATATCGACCTTGTCTCCCGCCCCCACACCACCCTTTTTCTTATCCCGCTCTCCCCTCTCCCCTCCCGCCAAACCAACTGCTTGCAGCACGGCAGCAAAGGGAGCCGCCATAAGTTAGTCCCGCCTGCGCCGCCTCTCCAACAGCTTCCTCTTCCCTCCTCTCCTCTGTTCCCATTTTATCCCCCTTCCGTATCTATTCCCGCCCCAACCACGTGCAGCACGGCAGCAAAGGGCGCTGCCATAAGTTCATCCCGCCTGCGGCGCCTCTCCCAGCAGCCCACAGGTGCCGGTGCTGGCGACAAGCAAGAAGGGGAGGCTTTCGAAGGGGAGCGGCCAGAGCAGCAGCAGCAAGAGCAGGAGGCAGGGAGGGGAACAGAAGTGCGGCTGAAGCCAGGGCCGCTGCAGACAATCTTCGGCCTGCCTCCAGATGAGGTGTGTGTGGGACAAGGAGGGATGAAAGTGAGAGGAATTTCTCATCTGGAAGTGCTTCGAGCAAGGGGAGGGGAACGGAAGTGCGGCTGAAGCCGGGACCACTGTAGACGATCTTCGGGCTGCCTCCAGATGAGGTGCGTTTCTTTAAGCGCCTCTCAAAGTGGTCTTATGAGTTGCCTGAGAAGTGCGGTTACAGCTGAACGTGGTCTTATGAGGTGCCCGAGAAGTGTGGTAAAACCCGGAACGCTGCAAGCGATCGTCGGCCTGCTTCCCAATGAACTTGCAGTCAAGGCTGTCTGTAACATCTATTATCAGAAACATGTTCCAGGACCGAGCCAGGACCGAGCCAGGACCGAGCCAGGACCGAGCCAGGACCGAGCCAGGACCGAGCCAGGACCGAGCCAGGACCGAGCCAGGACCGAGCCAGGACCGAGCCAGGACCGAGCCAGGACCGAGCCAGGACCGAGCCAGGGCCGAGCCAGAGCAGAGCCAGAGTCGAGCCAGGTCATCAGGCACTTCTCGTGTGCGCTGGAGAGATTGTTCCATTGTTCCTCTACTACGGCCGCATGTTCCTCTCGGGGTCGCTCTTGTGCTTCCACTCCATCGTCTTCTCCAAAGAATCTCTCTGTGTGCATTCCTTTTTTGCACTGCATGGCAGGTCATTCGGCACTCCTCGTGTGCGCTGGAGCGCTCGTTTCTCTACCACGGTCGCATGTTCCTCTCAGGGGCGCATCTCTGCTTCTACTCCAACGTCTTCTCAAAGGAGCTGACTGTGTGCATTCCATACCAAGACATTGAGGAGGTGAGGAGCGATGTGTTTTTCAGCGAATAAGAACTAGCAATGAGCAATGAGGAGAGAGAAATGTGCGCATGCCCATGCCTCTCCCTTCCATTTCCTTCCCGTTCCCATGCCCTAACCACATCAGGTTCGCCGCAGCACACACGCGCTGATCAACCCAGCCATGACGGTGGTGCTGCATCTGGGCACGGGGGGACACGGGGTGCCTCCTCTTCCCAGTCCTGATGGTGAGCTTGCGTGTTGAGGTGTCTTAGGGCTTGAGCTGGCATGCACATAAGCCCTGTACACACCCCACCCCTCACATTCACGCATGCGCTGATCAACCCAGCCATGACGGTGGTGCTGCATCTGGGCACGGGCGGACACGGGGTGCCTCCTCTTCCCAGTCCCGATGGTGAGCCACTGAGCCAGTATTACTTGCGCCGTAGCATTGCCTTGCTTGCACGTTCCTCCATCCTGACATGGCGAGTGAAGCACAAGTTTGCTTTGTGGAACCGAGGCCATGCCATGCGGATACTGTGCTATGTTGTTGGTAGTCCTACTTCTCCTCATGCCCCTCCACGCGCTCTTCCTTTCACACCGAGTGAAATACAAGCTTGCGTCGTTCTGGGACAGAGGTCATACCATGCGCCTGCTGTGCCTTGGCTCCTTATGCCCGTCCCATTCCTTCCCCCTTGCCCCTCCCATCAGGCCGAGTGAAGTACAAGTTTGCATCGTTTTGGAACCGGGGTCATGCCATGCGCCTACTGCAGGAGGCGATTGCCGAGTTCTGGAAGACTGAAGAAGCAGCGGCTCTGGTGCGTTCTCTCTGCCTTTGGTGCTCTGCTCGTTGTGCTCACCATTGCCTCTCCTGTCTCTTGGGTTCGAGGTCAGTGCCTGCTGCTGCAGGAGGCAATTGCGGAGTTCCGGAAGGCCGACGAGGCAGCTGCTCTGGTGCGTATCTATCTTCTTGTACTCGCTGCTGGCTCTCTGGCTGGGTGGTAGCATGCAGGCATCGCCTGCTGCTGCAGGAGGCGATTGCAGAGTTCTGGAAGACTGAAGAGGCAGTCGCTCTGGTACGTATTTCTTTGTCCCCACAGTTACCTCTCCTGTTACTCGACCATAGCTCTCCTGTTACCCGCACCACTAGCTCTCCCGCCCGCCTCGTTGCATCGAGGTAAGAGCCTGCTGCAGGGGGCGATTGCCGAGTTCCCGTTGCTCCTGTTCTTGTACTCGCTGCTGGCTCTCCTGGTACACGTTATCAGCCCTCTTGCTTCTTTGCATCAATGTAAGCACCTGCTGCAGGAGGGAGGCCTTTGCAGAATTCTGTCACTAGACTCACCCAACTCACCATATCTCCCCAAAGTTTGTCATTTTGTAATCCCACAATCGAATCCCCCTAAATTCCTTGTATTGAGTAAGCCACCTAAATGTGGAGCCACCAAGAGGCTCTATACTACAAGCAAGGATCCAGGAAGGATTGGAGGGGTGGAGTTCCCTATTGGCTACTGAGTTGGCCAATGAAATAATTTGCTTGTGAACTAGCAACCAAGATTAGATTGGGACAAATGTCACCGAATATGCATGATTATGCATATACGGTGCCAGAGTGTGCGGTGTAGTTCTGGTGTAGCAATGTTGAGTATGCACATTCGAGGGTAGGTAGTTGGGGACCAGGGAAATTGACGCAAGGTTGGTAGGAGAGCACCGAAAGGTGGAATTCACGCAACCAATGTGAACGAACCAACCCAGGCTCGAGTCGCACATTGAGAAATGCACGGTTCGAGCCTGGGCCAGGTAAATTCACTCTCTCACACACACCCGATGCTTTCCGCTTGTTATCCTTTCGTATAGTGGAACGTTGTTGCCTTAACCTTGCAGCTAGGTGACACACCACTCAGGGAGGACCCTTGAGGTGAGAGCTTTATCCCTTTCACTTGAGAGTGGCTGAGGCAGGGCAGGAACAGAGAAGAGCAAGAAGGACAGAAGGAAGGGCAGATGGCTTGCAACGACAGGAAGAAGGACAGAAGGAAGGGCAGATGGCTTGCAACGATGTCGATGAGGAGGAACCCTTGTTATGGCAGGAGGAGGAGGATGAGGGCGGGTCACGGGCCATTAGGATGAGGGATGGAGCAGTGAACCGAATTCTCCATCTTTCCGAATATATGAAACCCCCCAAACCCAATTCTTTTTCAATCTTGATGGCAGGAGGATGAGTAGGATCTGTTACGGGCGATAATCATGAAGGATGGAGCAGTAGAAGGGCTGTCATGTAGAGGAGCAGCATCAGAGGCTGCGGAGGAGGAGAAGCAACCATTTACTTCACCAAGTGCACATTCCCCAATCTCCATGGCAGGAGGAGGAGCATTATCGGTTACGGGCGATCAGCATGAGGGACGGGGCAGTAAAGGGGATTCTGTCACTAGAGTCACCCAATGCAACACATTCCCCTAATTCTTGACCATCTTTTCAACCCCTGGCAAACGAATTTTTGTAATGCCCATGGCAGGAGGAGGAGCAGGATCGGTTACGGGCGATAAGCATGAGGGACGGGGCATTAGAAGGGTTGTCATTTAGAGGACCGGCTTCGGAGGCTGCAGAGGAGGAGAAGGAGAAGCAACCCTTCCTTGACCTCACCGTGCTGGAGCACCTGCTGCAGGTGAGAGTCACTGTTGCAGGTGAACCCTCTTTTTTTCTTGAGTCGACTCAACTCAGAAGTCACCTTGCTGCAGAGGAGGAGAGGAGAAGCAACCCTTCCTTGACCTCACCGTGCTGGAGCACCTGCTGCAGGTGAGAGTCACTGTTGCAGGTGAACCCTCCTCTTTTCTTGAGTCGACTCAACTCAGAAGTCACCTTGCTGCAGAGGAGGAGAGGAGAAGCAACCCTTCCTTGACCTCACCGTGCTGGAGCACCTGCTGCAGGTGTCGGAGAGGTTTTGCAGGTGAGTGGTGCGCGTTACGAGTTGCACACTGTGCTGTACTGTGTGAGGTTGATGTAGTCTGATAATGTCAGCTGCACAAGAGAGTACACAAGAGGGGGTACCATCCAGGTTGATTCAACCACCTCCATTTGCGATTCATCCGACTTCTTTCCCCCCTCCCTGTCCTTCTGTTCTTCAACCGTTTCCCTTCCTCCCTTTCTCCTCTTCCTCTGCCCAGTTGCACATGCCTGCTTCAACCTCCCCTTCTCAGATTAATTTGAGGCGCCTCAAAAGTCGATTCATTTGAATCCCTTACCCGTGCTTCTGTGCTTTCCCGCTCGGCCCTCCCCTCTCAGTTCGAGGTGCCCTGCACAGCAGAAGCCTACTTCAATCTCCTCTACTCTGATTTGCTTGACTCCCTTCCTTGTGCTCCCCCCCTCTTCCCTCCCCCCCCCCCCCCCCCTCTTGTCCCCTCCCGCCTGACCCAGTTCGAAGTGCCCTGCACGGCAGAAACCTACTTCAATCTTCTCTACTCCGATTTGCTTGACTCCCATCCCTGTGCTTCTGTGCTCCCCCCCCCCACCCCTTGTCCCCTCCCGCCTGTCCCAGTTCGAGGTGCCCTGCACGGCAGGAACCTACTTCAATCTCCTCTACTCAGATTCGTCTGATTTCGTCGTGGTTTACCGAGCCAAGCGCAAGGACACGGAGCTGAAGGTGAGGCACGGGAGCAACACGGCAGTAGGTTAGGCTTGGACCAAACAGAGCGAAAGGTGAGTCATGTGTGCCACACGCCGTAAGGCTCGGCCGTGGTGTACCGAGCCTGTTTTCTGAGCATTCTCAAACAACAGATTCAGCAGAGAATTCTCAAATAACAGATTCACCAAACAGAGCGAAAGGTGAGTCATGTGTGCAACACGCCGTAAAGCTCTGCCGTGGTGTACCGAGCCTAAGGCCATGTGCAAAAACATTGAGCTGAAGGTGAGGCGCTGGCCAAACGAGGCAAAAGGTGAGGCAGGACTTTACTAACTGTATGAAACGTTACAGGAGCAAAGGATCCTAATGACCAACTAATTGCTGAGATCCGTTTGCTCTTGAAGCATCTATAGGAAGTCCACGTGTATCCAGCCAATTGAGCAATGCTTTGCTTCCTTAACGCAATCTACAACATCTTGGCTCTTGAAACTTGCATGTTTCGTGGCAGCAGCAACGTTTCGGTTCGACTGTGACCAGTGTTGCCTGTTTTTGTGTTGCCCGCCGTTTCAGGCTCTGATTTCGCTTGCGTTGCATGTTTTCTTCCTCTCATTCCATTTGCTTCCTCTCATCCCACTTGCTTCCTCTAACTCCTGCCTTGCAGGTGGGCGAGTGGAAGGAAACAGAGCAGTACGGAGGCAAGCTGAGAGAGGTGAGCCAAGGGAGAAACATCTTACCTTTGACGCACCAAAAAATACTAGTCTTGCCTTGCAGGTGAGCGAGTGGAAAGAAACAGAGCAGCACGGAGGCAAGCTGAGAGAGGTGAGCCAAGGGAGAAACATCCTGGAAGGTGGAAAAATAATAAAAAATCGAAGGGTGGGGCTAACTTTGAGTAGAAAAGAAAGCAGGCAGTTGCTCGGTTTCAGATAGAAAGAGAGGGTTGAGGTGAGAGAAGGCGATTATAAGAAGGGATGAAAAGGGATTTGGCATTTTTCTTAACATCTTTCGCGAACACCCTCTCTCAAAGTTACCTCTGATTGTTCACAGGTAGCTAGACACTCCTCTGTATAATTTGCCAGGAAAGGCTCTTCCATGTACCCACCCTCCACTGACATGCCCAAGTAATAGCACACGGCCGTCTCTGCTCCCGAGCAGTGGGAATGGGCTGATCATGATCCCATGCCCTCTCCCCTCCCTGTCCTCTCCCAGGTGACCTATCGCTCGCTCTGCGACTCCCCCATGTGCCCACCCTCCACTGCAATGACTGAGTGGCAGCACACGGCCTTCTCTGCTCCGGACCACACGCACCTGGTACGTGCATGTTCATCCAAACGTTGAGTCCTTTTGAGGCGCCTCAAAAGTCTTCTCCGCTCCCAACCACACGCACCTGGTGCGTGCATGTTCTCTATCTCTGAGTGGAACACGCATACAGAAACTGGAGTGCTCTTGAGGCCACCCTCCTCCACGGCCATGACTGAGTGGCAGCACACGGCCTTCTCTGCTCCCGACCACACGCACCTGGTGCGTGCATGGTTTCTATCTCTCTGAGTGGAACACGCATACAGAAATCGAAAAGCTACCCCATGTGCCCACCCACCCTCCACGGCCATGACCGAGTGGCAGCACACGGCCTTCTCTGCTCCCGACCACAAGCACCTGGTGCGTGCATGCATGTTCCCACTACTTCTAAAGTACATGAGTGATTCGGCCTTCTCTGCTCCGGACCGCAAGCACCTGGTGCGTGCATGTTTTCATATCTCCAAGCGTGCAGTGCGGGCGCTCAGAACATGCGCATAAAAATGAAATGCTCGTGAGGGCATCTGATCGAAGTGGAAGTAAAATCACCTCAACTAGAAGAACACGCTCATGAATCATTCTCACCTTACTTTTGAGTCGACTCAAAAGAAGAACACGCTCATGAATCATTCTCACCTTACTTTTGAGTCGACTCAAAAGAAGAACACGCTCATGAATCATTCTCACCTTACTTTTGAGTCGACTCAAAAGAAGAACACGCTCATGAATCATTCTCACCTTACTTTTGAGTCGACTCAAAAGAAGAACACGCTCATGAATCATTCTCACCGTACTTTTGAGTCGACTCAAAAGAAGAACACGCTCATGAATCATTCTCACCTTAAAGTGCTTGCATGAAACGGAGAGCATGAGCCCGCTCCCTTTGCAGAGGAGTTCCTAATCTCCCTTCTCCCATCCCTGCGTATGAGGTGTCCTTTTGGAGCATCTGCCCTAAATCTTTCGTATCTGGTATATTTCCTCTTCCCACCAGGTGCTAGAGGTAGTTAACCAGGCGCATGACATGGCAGAGTGTTCGATTTCCTTCAGACATCTCAAAAACTCCTTGCATTCCCCCCCATTCACCAGGTCCTGGAGCTAATAAACCACGCGCATGACGTGCCCTTTGGGTGGGTCCCATCTGGTACAGTCTCACCTGTATTTCTCCTATCTCATCTCTCGCATCTCCCAACGCTACCTACTCCCAACCCAACTCCCCTCTCTGGCCTCCCACCAGGTCCTGGAGCTAATAAACCAGGCACATGACGTGCCCTTTGGGTCTTACTTCGAGGTAAGATCTGTGATGTGCTGTGGTTTTATGCGGTGCGTTTCTCTGATGCGATGCCTTGAGAGGCAATTTTTTGTAGGCGATGAGATATTTTTAGGCGCCTGATAAACCTGACCAGTCGCATGATGTGAGGCGGTGAGTTTTTCTGGTCTCTACTGAGGCGCCTCAAAGTTCACCTCACTACACGCAGTCGCATGATGTGAGGCGGTGAGTTTTCTGGTCTCTACTTGGAGCTGAGGTGCGTGTGTTTGTGCTTTGGGCTTCGAGCATGACCTTAGAACTAGAGATGAAGTATGTGGTGTGGGCTTTTAAATATCTCAAAACTGGAGGTAGATTTAGTCGTGTGGGTCAAATTTCTCAAGATTATATCATTTTTGTCGGTTCTTTTGTTCTTTGCTGTGGTTCGCAGGTGCATGCGCAGTGGACGGTCAAAACGACATCTGACAATCCCGAGAGTCCATCGTGCAGTGCCGAGCTCAAAGCAGGTTGGTGGTCGTGGCTTTCCAGTTGAGTCAGAGAAGCAAAAAACACATCATCGTGGGGCTTCTCAGGGAGTAAAAGACGTTACCTTTTCAGTCTGCTTAAGAGTCAAAACGTCATCCAACAACCCCGAGAGTCCATCGTGCAGTTCGATTCCAGTGAACTGAAATCGGGTCGGTGGTCGTGCAGTTTGACTTTGGCTCAAAATTCAATCGTGGTCTGCTTTCAGTCCATTTGACCCTTTGGTTGTTGTGCTCAGGCTCTGAACCTTCTGTTGCATGCTGCATGGTGCATGTTGCTTGATAGATGGTGTGTGACACATTGTCTTCGTACATGATTGCACAAAGTGCGTATCAGGAAGTGTGTAATTTATGGAACATTTTTCCAGGGAGAAGGGACAGGATTGACTTGCATTGACTGTTGTTGACATCTATGTGTGTCAATCGGTGTGTGTGTGTGTGTGTGTGTGTGTGTGTGTGTGTGTGTGTGTGTGTGTGTGTGTGTGTGTGTGTGTGTGTGCATGCAGGCGTTCACTTCAAGAAGTGGTGTATGATGCAAGGGAAGATTCGGCAGGGCGCGCAGGCAGAGGTGCGTGCGGTGCTCCTCTGCGTTTTGCTGTCTATTCCGAGATGCTTTTATATCGTGATGACTTTCGAGTCCGACTTAAAAGTCATCCTGCAGGCAGAAGTGCGTTCGGTGCTCCTCTGTTTTGACGTTATTGATTCAGAGGTGTTTTAGATTGCAAATAGTCTGTCTTCGGCATACTGGTTGCTGCGTGTATTTGTTGTGGGGCGTTGGTTCGACATTGCACCGTCTTTGTGTAGCACATTGTTTGATTGTTGCAACAATCTCCTTTGCTCTGTCACCCACTCCCTCTCATCCCTCCCTCTCCTCCCCTTCTCCCTTCCCCTTCTGCCCCCTTCCCCCTCCCCCCTTTGGCTTCCTCCCATCCCGCCCTCCCTCCCCTCCAACCATCCCTCCCTTTCCCTTTCTCGCCCACGCAGATGAAGAGGAACAGCCAGGCGATGATGGAGATGGCAATGACATACATATCAGACTGGGTCAGAGCGGTAACCAGCCGGCTGATTGTAATGCTGCTAGTTACAAAGGAGCCTCACATGTTCCCTCCCCTCCTTCCATTATCCCTCGCAGATGAAGAGGAACAGCCAGGCGATGATGGAGATGGCAACGACATACATAGCTGAGCGCACACAGGGCGGTAACCAGCCCGCCGATTGTAACGCCGACGCTGCTGCTGGGAATGGTGGAGCTGACAGCAATGTTGATAATGAGAAAGGAAATGGGGGTGGTGTTAAAAAGGAGGGAGCGGGAGCAGGAGGGGTGGAAAGTAGGGAGAATGTGATAGCACCTAGTGGTGATAGCAGAAGACCAGGAAGTGTAGACACAAAGCCAGGGTAAATACATTTTCCAGATGTCCTTGTTAGATGATAGTGGTAAGTGGTGTTGAATGTTTTGTAGTGTATCAATAAAGTCCACCCCGTGTAAATAGTGGCTCAGAAAAGGAAAGGAAAGGAATCCATGTGTACTTGTCAGCGTGGAGTTTTGTTCTAGAGTGGTGGTGGGTGGTTCCAGATATGGCTTCAACAGCAAGTATTGTTGTTAACAATGCAGCACACTACGACAGGAATGATACCTCCGTCCGAAGCACTTTATAGCGAATTTAATCTAGACCCCACTAAAAGCCTAATGCAGGCTTCCTTGCCCAATGCGGCCGTAAGGGGGCTATAAATGAAGCCTGAATCTTAGGGTAACGCTGTGGTGGTTATTCTGCAGGCGCGGCGGCGGTCACGCAACGTAGCGGAAATACCGTTTTCCTACTATCGCTGAAAGGAAACTTCGAGACGACTCCACGCTTAGGTCATGCTGAATTTGGCATTTGCGTAAGTTGTAAGACGCATGTAATCGATTCCCCGATTGCGGGACAGTGCTAGTGAACCCGAGCATTGAAAAGCAGTCGCTTCTCCGGTGGTAGGAAGTGGTAGTGCTTCGCTACGCGCCGCTGTCACTTGGAAGAACCCTAGCTTTGAAAACCATCTCGCTTGGGAAAAGAACCTTGGGAATGCCGACCCCGTTCGCGCGAGAGCTGGCGTGTGGGATCGTGAAGGACCACTTCGGCGACCAGGTGGAGGTGCGTCCGGGTGTTACTTGAGGGAGGTGCATCTAGGTGTTACCTGGGAGAGGTGCGTCGGGGTGTTACCTGGGAGAGGCGCATCCAGGTGTTACCTAGGGGAGGTGCATCCAGGTGTTACCTGGGAGAGGTGGATCCAGGTGTACAAGAGAAGGGTCATCTCGGTCGGCCTGTCCCCGCAAGACCTCGCACGCTACACGCCGTCCCTCTCACTCGTTTCCCTTCCCAACCCTCCCCTCCTCACCCGCCCTCCTTCCTTCATACAGACAGTATACCGCACACTACTGGAAAAGGGACAGCTCGGCCTGTCCCTCCACTGCCCTCCCGTTAATTCCTCTTTCCTTCTACCCTACCCCCCCTCTTCTCCCCCCATTCCCCTCCCTGTGCCCCTCTGACCCCTCATAACAGACGGTATGTCGAACACTACTAGAGAAGGGCCAGCTTGGCCTGTCCATGCAAGACCTCGCCCGCTTCACCGCCCTCCCTCCCCCTTTGCTCCGCTCCGCTCTCCTGGTGCTAGTTCAGCACAACTGCGCACAGGCCTTTCGACCACAGACTGATGGTACGACAGGGGTTAGGGTTGTGGATAGGCACTCCCCATCTTCCTTCAAGATTCAGGGTGCTGGGTTTCCTCCTCCCTCCGCTCCGCTATGACCTCCCTCCGCTCCGCTATGACCGCCCTTGCTCCGCTCCGCTCTCCTGGTGCTCGTACAGCACAACTGCGCGCAGGCCTTTCGACTGCAGACTGAAGGAAGTCAGGGTGAACAGGGTGATTCAGGGTCAGTTGGGGTGTTGGATTGACTCCCTCCGTCCCTCCTTCCTTCCCTGGCCCCCCATCCCTCCGCGCTGCTCTCCTGGTGCATAACTGCGCACAGGCATTTCGACCACTGACAGACGGCGAGCCAGTCAGGGTGATGTGGGTTTTGGGGTGTTTTTGAGAATTCTCAAAAACACCCTGAGCGAGTCAGGGTGATGTGGGGTTTCGGGTTCAGGGTATTGGATTGCGTATCACTCTCTCAACAGGTTTAGGCCTATCCGACTACAGCAGGCCGACGATGGTGAGCCAGGGTTATCGATCATTGTGTGGGGTTGACTTCCTCGCTCCTTACCTCTCTCTCATCTCATGTTCGTGTACCCCTCGGGCCCCGCCCCGCTGATACCAGCCCCCTTTTGAGTCGACTCAAAAGCAGTACCCCTCGGGTCCCGCCCCGCTGATACCAGCCCCCTTTTGAGTCGACTCAAAAGCAGTACCCCTCGGGCCCCGCCCCGCTGATACCAGCCCCCTTTTGAGTCGACTCAAAAGCAGTACCCCTCGGGCCCCGCCCCGCTGATACCAGCCCCCTTTTGAGTCGACTCAAAAGCAGTACCCCTCGGGCCCCGCCCCGCTGATACCAGCCCCCTTTTGAGTCGACTCAAAAGCAGTACCCCTCGGGCCCCGCCCCGCTGATACCAGCCCCCTTTTGAGTCGACTCAAAAGCAGTACCCCTCGGGCCCCGCCCCGCTGATACCAGCCCCCTTTTGAGTCGACTCAAAAGCAGTACCCCTCGGGCCCCGCCCCGCTGATACCAGCCCCCTTTTGAGTCGACTCAAAAGCAGTACCCCTCGGGCCCCGCCCCGCTGATACCAGCCCCCTTTTGAGTCGACTCAAAAGCAGTACCCCTCGGGCCCCGCCCCGCTGATACCAGCCCCCTTTTGAGTCGACTCAAAAGCAGTACCCCTCGGGCCCCGCCCCGCTGATACCAGCCCCCTTTTGAGTCGACTCAAAAGCAGTACCCCTCGGGCCCCGCCCCGCTGATACCAGCCCCCTTTTGAGTCGACTCAAAAGCAGTACCCCTCGGGCCCCGCCCCGCTGATACCAGCCCCCTTTTGAGTCGACTCAAAAGCAGTACCCCTCGGGCCCCGCCCCGCTGATACCAGCCCCCTTTTGAGTCGACTCAAAAGCAGTACCCCTCGGGCCCCGCCCCGCTGATACCAGCCCCCTTTTGAGTCGACTCAAAAGCAGTACCCCTCGGGCCCCGCCCCGCTGATACCAGCCCCCTTTCCCGCACGCCCAACCCTCTACATCACACTTCAGGACTCCATTCTGCCTCGCTGCCTCGCTGTGCTTTGATCTAAGTTCTGACACCCCGTTCAACCAGACCCCCCCCCTTTCCCTTCCTAAACCCTCCTGCTCCCCCCAGACACCGGCCCTCTTGTCCGCATGCCAGCCAACCCTATGCATACTCCATCCTGCCTCGCCTGCCCTTTGATCCGATCGTTTTGCCTCCCTCCCCTCCTGCTCCCCCAAGACACTGGTCCTCTTGTCTGCACACCGACCCTCTACATAGCTTTTCAGGACTCCATTCTGCCTCGCCTGCGAAAAGCATGAAGCTAACTTTTCACACCCCCTCCAACCACTCCAAACCCCTGCTTCTTTCCCCCCAGACATCGGTCCCCTGGCCCGCACGCCCACGCTGTACATCGCTCTGCATCACTCCATTCTTCCTCGCCTGCCCTTTGAACCGACTTCTCACTCCCCCTTCCCTCGCCCCCCATCTACTTCCAGACACGGGTCCCCTGGCCCGCACGCCCACGCTCTACATCGCTCTGCAGGACTCCATTCTGTCACACTTAAAAGCCCCCTCTGCCCTTCCCCCCCTCTCCCCCCACGCCCTCCCCCAGACACCGGTCCTTTGGCCTGCATGCCAACATTCTAAATTGCTCTGCAGGACTCCATCCTGCCTCGCCTGGCCGTTTGACCTGATTCTTAGCCCATCTTTCCCCTTGCCCCTTTCACAACCCACTCCCCCCCAGACACGGGTCCCCTGGCCCGCACATCCACACTCTACATCGCTCTGCAGGACTCCATCCTGCCTCGCCTGTGCTTTGAACAGGTTATAGGACCCCTTCTCTCCCCTTGCCCTTTTCACCCCCCCTACCCCCCTCCTCCCCCCATAGATACTGGTCCCCTGGCCCGCACGCCAACACTCTACATCGCTCTGCAGGACTCCATCCTGCCTCGCTTGTGCTTTGAAGTGAATTTTAACTCCCCTCTTCTCTCCTTGCTCCTTTCACACGCCCTCCCCCTCTCTCCTCCAGACACCGGCCCTCTTGCCCGCACGCACACCCACGCTCTACATCGCTCTGCAGGACTCCACCTTACTAGTACCACACTCATCCCCTCGCCTCTCCCCCTCCCTCTCCCCCACTCTCCCCGTCATTTACTCCCAGACACCGGTCCCCTGGCCCGCACGCCAACGCTCTACATCGCTCTGCAGGACTCAATCCTGCCTCGCCTGCGCTTCCCCAAGTTCATGGCGCAGACAAACGAACTGCTGGGAGACGAGGTGGGTGTGTGGAATGCGGTGGAGTAGGGTGGAGTGGGGTGAAGTGGTCGAAGACGCGGGTTAGGCGTGTCACTTCATGGTCCTGCCTCCCCTGCGCTTCCCCAAGTTCATGGCTCAGACGAACGAGCTGCTGGGAGACGAAGTGGGTGGGTGGTTGGTTGATGGGTGGAAGGGTCGGTTGGTGGATGAGTGGATGGGCGGGTGGGGCAGAGGCAGTGATTGACGCTCTTTGAGACGTCTCAAAACTCTTTTGAAGCATGTTTTTTTTTTCTAGAATTCTTAAGGTGACTTTTGAGTCGACTCAAAAGTTATTTCAGAATTCTAAAAAAAAATCCTGCAACATCGTGGATGGCCGGGTGGGGCAGAGGCAGTGATTGACGCTCTTTGAGACGTCTGCCCTCTTTTGAAGCATGACGCTCTTTGAGACGTCTCAAAACTCTTTTGAAGCATGGTTGCCTTGCCTGCCCTCGGTTTCCCACAGTGGGGTGTTCCACCATCTCGGGCAGCGATCACCCCACACCACAGTTCCCTTGATGCCCCACCCCCACGCGCCCCCCTTTCTTCCCGCACCCCCCATTTAACCACTATTTTCAGGCAGAAGCAGTGGTGGAGGCTCTTCTGGGGGGAGCACAGCCGCCTGTCCCGCCTGTCCCGCCCCCCTCCCAGCACACACCCCTCGTCAGGCAGAAGCAGTGGTGGAGGCTCTTCTGGGGGAGCACAGCCGCCTGTCCCGCCCCCAGCTGGTGAAGCAGTCGAAGTTCCCTCAATGTGTCATCCTCCCTTTTCTTCCTGCACCCCCGCTCCCCCTCCCAACACACCTCCCGTCAGGCAAAGGTAAAGTGGTGAAGGCTCTTCTGGAGCACAGCCGTCTGTCCCTCCACTCCACTCCACCACCTCATGCAATGCAGCGATCACATCACACCCACTGTTCCCATGGTCCATCCGCCCCTGCCACTTATCCCATCCCCTCCCAACACACACCACTCGTCAGGCAGAGGCAGTGGTGGAGGCTCTTCTGGAGCACGGCCGTCTGTCCCTGCACCAGCTCGTGCAGCGATCACACTGCACTTCCCTTGATGCCCCATTTACCATCCACCCTTTCCCCTTCCCCCTCCAACACACACCTCGCCAGGCAGAGGCAGTGGTGGAGGCTCTTTTGGAGCACGGCCGCCTGTTCCCATGCCGCATCTCTCCCCCCCCCCTCTCTCCACTTTTCCCCTCCCCCCTCCAGCACACACCTCGTCAGGCAGAGGCAGTGGTGGAGGCTGTTATGGAGCACGGCTGCCTGGCACAGCGATCAAAGTTCCCTCAATGCCCCATCCTCGCTTTATTCTCCCTGCCCCCGTCCCACCCAACACACCTCTCATCAGGCAGAGGCAGTGGTGGAGGCTCTTTTAGAGCACGGCCGGCTGTCCCTGCACCAGCTCGTGCAGCGATCAGTGGCAAAGGCTGGTTCGTCTGACCCCTCTGCTGCCAAGAGTAAGCAACTTGTAGGTTGAGATGCAAGCATGAGAGTATGTCTGTCTGTCTTTGAGGCGCCTCAAAAGCTTGATTGGGTCGGGTCTGTTGACTGTCCCTGCATCAACTCGTGCAGCGATCAGTGGCGAAGGCTGGCTCGTCTGATCCCTCTGCGGCAAAGAGTAAGCAACTCTTTGCTTGACTGCCCTTTGATTATGTATGTCTGTTTTGAGGCGCCCCAAGAGCAAATGGTATGTCCTTCCTTTGCTTTTTTTTTGCTCTGTTTCTTTCCGTTTGCTTCTTCTTTTGTTGCTAACTGCTCTTTTGTCCCTTTTTGTGTATTTTCTGTGGTGTCGGTTCACCTACCTTACAATAATTCTTGAGACGTCTCAAAAACTGAGTTTGAGGCGTCTCAAAACTCAACTTTCTGTGGTGTCGGTTCACCTACCTTACAATAATTCTGTCCTTTCATGTTCATTTGCTCGCCTTGCCGTTCCTGCAGCCGAGGGTCAGGTTCGGCAGCAGCTGGTGGCGGCGCTGTCAGTGCTGATCCATGAGAGGCTCGTCGAGAGGGTAGGGGCCCCCGAGCCTATGCTGCCGGCTCGGGGAGCAAGCAGCGGCGGCGATGCTCCCAAGCCCGCTGCTCGTGCGCGAGTGGTGAGTTTGTTCTCCCTCTCCAGACACTCTTTCCCTCTTGTTTACAGTGCCTATTCAGGTTCACCAATCTCGAATGTGGCTTCAGTGCATTCAGAGGTGGTTGTTGCAGCGCGCGTGGTGCATTCAGTGATGCTCCGCTCATAGGTGCTGTAGAAAATCAGACCTATGTGCACAATGTGCACAAGGAGAAGCTGGTTCTGAGATGTTGAAAAGGGTCTACAAACAGAAAGTTAACTGAAGTAATGAATACAAGCAAAACAAAAGCTAAAATAGGCAGAAAGTGAAGAGAGCTAGCTTGGAGGCGACTTGGGCTGGTCCAGGTGAGGAATTTGGTACCCAAGGGACTTGGGGTGGCCAAATGGGTGCTCAAGTCGCCCACAGTCAAGATGGGGACGTGAGGGACCCTCAAAGTGGGCCTGGAAGCGCCCCCTCTAGTGGAACCGCGATTCCACGAATTGGAAACGCGAATTCCAAGCTGGAGCCGCGTTTCCAATGTTGAAATTCGTGGGTCCAGGCTGGAGCCGCGTCCCCAAGGATGGGAAACGTGCTGGGGTGCCCCAAAGCCGAATTTGGGGTGCCTAGCACTTGATAAAGTCACTCAGGGGGCACCCTATAACTAATATAACTCAACCCCTATTGTCTACACTATTATAATGTAAGCAAATACATACAAACCATAAAACAAACTAGTGAACTAACCTTCAGCATAATTAAAGGAAAATAAGTACCTAACAACAGGTGCTCCGTTCACTGGTATTTCTTTGACTCAGAGGAGCGGAGCACCGCATGTCGTGGTGGTTGTTGCAGCGCGCTGCAGTCACACTCGCTCACTCCTGCCATGCCATCGTAGTCTCCCTTGCCTCTCTCAGCGTACGCGGGCAATGATGGAATCGTCTGGCTACTTTGACTCGGAGGAGCAGCGGCTGGTTGTTTCAGCGCCACTCGCTCGTTCACTCCTGTGTGGTGGTCTTGTTCGTAAACCCCCCTGCCCGCTCTCCTCTCCTCCTCCCCCTGTATCACTCGCCCTCAGCGCAATCGGGCAATGATGGAGTCATCTGGCTACTTTGACTCGGAGGAGCACCGCACCATGTGGTTTGGTTATTGCAGCGCGCTGCAGCCACACTCACTCCCTCCTCACTTCTCATGGTTGAATGTCCTCTTCTTCCCTTCCTGCTCTCACCATTCCTCCCCTGTATCACTCGCCCTTCAGCGCACGCGGGCAATGATGGAGTAGTCTGGCTACTTTGACTCCAAAGAGCACTGCGTGGTCGTTGCAGCGCGCTGCTGCTGCCACGCTCACTCCCTCCTCTCCTCTCATGCTTGCATGTCCCTTCCCTTCCTGCTCTCACCCTTCCTCCTTCTCAGCGCACGTGGGTTATGATGGAATCGTCTGGCTACTTCGATTCGGAGGAGCACCGCATGGTCGTTGCAGCGTGCCACACTCTTGATGTGGTTTCTTTTCTAAACTCCCCTTTCTCCCCTGTCACACTATCCCTCAGCGCACGCGGGCCATGATGGAATCGTCTGGCTACTTCGATTCAGAAGAGCAACCCGTGGTCGTTGCAGCGCGCTGCAGTCACACTCCCGCTCACTCCTGCCATGTTTCCCCCCTTGCTCACTCTTTCAGCGCACAAGTGCCATGATGGAGTCGTCTGGCTACTTCGACTCGGAAGAGCACCGCTGCAGTAGCCACACTCCTGACGTGGTTTCTTTTCTATTCTACCCTTCCTCCCCTGCATCACTCTCCCTCAGCGCACGCGAGCCATGATGGAATCGTCTGGCTACTTTGATTCAGAGGAGCACCGTGTGGTCGTTGCAGCGCGCTGCAGCGATGCCCTGCGCTTCCAGCTGCCCGGTGCATGGGTGCTGTCGGGTGGTGATGGCGCTGGTGGCGGTGCTGCTGGTAGTGCTGCTGTGGATGGGAGCGCTGGGGCGGATGGGGGACTGACAGCAGCAGCAGCGGCCAAATTGAAGGTGATTATTCGGATCGTGGTGATTGTGCTGGCGCTGGTGCTGTTAGTGGTGCTGTGGATGGGAGCGCAGGGGCGGATGGTGGAATGGCAGCAGCAGCAGCAGCAAAGTTGAAGGTGAGTGAGTTGTCGGAATTGGTGGATCTCAATCGTATTTTGAGTCAACTCAAAATTACGAAGGTGAGTAATTTGTCGGAACGGAATTGGTGGATCTGGGTGCAGTGCAGGTGCAGCCGTGCTGTTTCAGGAAGCAGCACCGGTGTTTCGCCCTGCACTGGTGGTGCCCCCATACAGTGTTTCCCCTTCTTCCCTTCTGCTCTGTACTTGCAGAGAAAGTGAGTGGTTCTAGACAATGAGGATGAGGATGAGGAGCAAGCGGGGCCCAGTGCCAAGCGGCCTGCAACGGGGTTGGCAGCAGGTGGAGGGAAGTGCAGGGGGAGGGGAGAAGCAAGTTTTTCTAGACAATGTTATGCCGCTTTTTCCCGTGGTCTCGTCCTCACTCACTTGCAGAGAAAGCGGGTGGTTCTAGACGATGACGATGAGGAGGAGCAAGCGGGGCCCAGTGCCAAGCGCCCTGCAACGGGGTTGGCACCACACAGAGTTTTCCGTGTCTGCCCTTGCACTGCACCTCACCGCACCCCACCGCACCACACTTTCAGGGAAAGCGAGTGGTTCTAGACGCAGACGATGAGGAGGAGGAGCAAGCGGGACCCAGTGCCAAGCGGCAAGCGCTGGCCGCACTGCACCACACAGTGTTCCCCATTTCTGCCCTTGCACCGCACCCCACCGCACCTCCCTTGCAGAGGAAGCGAGTGGTCTTGGATGATGACGACGAGGAGGAGCAAGCGGGGCCCAGTGCCAAGCGGCCTGCACTGGTACCACCACACAGTGTTCCCGTACCATCAGACAGTGTTTCCCTTTGTACCCTTGCCCTCCACTCTATACCTGTAGAGAAAGCGAGTGGTGTTGGATGATGACGACGAGGAGGAGCAAGCAGGGCCCAGTGCCAAGCGGCCTGCACTGGTACCACCACACAGTGTTCCCGTACCATCAGACAGTGTTTCCCTTTGTACCCTTGCCCTCCACTCTATACCTGTAGAGAAAGTGAGTGGTGTTGGATGATGACGACGAGGAGGAGCAAGCAGGGCCCAGTGCCAAGCGGCCTGCACTGGTACCACCACACAGTGTTCCCGTACCATCAGACAGTGTTTCCCTTTGTACCCTTGCCCTCCACTCTATACCTGTAGAGAAAGCGAGTGGTGTTGGATGATGACGACGAGGAGGAGCAAGCAGGGCCCAGTGCCAAGCGGCCTGCACTGGTACCACCACACAGTGTTCCCGTACCATCAGACAGTGTTTCCCTTTGTACCCTTGCCCTCCACTCTATACCTGTAGAGAAAGCGAGTGGTGTTGGATGATGACGACGAGGAGGAGCAAGCAGGGCCCAGTGCCAAGCGGCCTGCACTGGTACCACCACACAGTGTTCCCGTACCATCAGACAGTGTTTCCCTTTGTACCCTTGCCCTCCACTCTATACCTGTAGAGAAAGCGAGTGGTGTTGGATGATGACGACGAGGAGGAGCAAGCAGGGCCCAGTGCCAAGCGGCCTGCACTGGTACCACCACACAGTGTTCCCGTACCATCAGACAGTGTTTCCCTTTGTACCCTTGCCCTCCACTCTATACCTGTAGAGAAAGCGAGTGGTGTTGGATGATGACGACGAGGAGGAGCAAGCAGGGCCCAGTGCCAAGCGGCCTGCACTGGTACCACCACACAGTGTTCCCGTACCATCAGACAGTGTTTCCCTTTGTACCCTTGCCCTCCACTCTATACCTGTAGAGAAAGCGAGTGGTGTTGGATGATGACGACGAGGAGGAGCAAGCAGGGCCCAGTGCCAAGCGGCCTGCACTGGTACAACCACACAGTGTTCCCGTACCATCAGACAGTGTTTCCCTTTGTACCCTTGCCCTCCACTCTATACCTGTAGAGAAAGCGAGTGGTGTTGGATGATGACGACGAGGAGGAGCAAGCAGGGCCCAGTGCCAAGCGGCCTGCACTGGTACCACCACACAGTGTTCCCGTACCATCAGACAGTGTTTCCCTTTGTACCCTTGCCCTCCACTCTATACCTGTAGAGAAAGCGAGTGGTGTTGGATGATGATGACGAGGAGGAGCAAGCAGGGCCCAGTGCCAAGCGGCCTGCACTGGTACCACCACACAGTGTTCCCGTACCATCAGACAGTGTTTCCCTTTGTACCCTTGCCCTCCACTCTATACCTGTAGAGAAAGCGAGTGGTGTTGGATGATGACGACGAGGAGGAGCAAGCAGGGCCCAGTGCCAAGCGGCCTGCACTGGTACCACCACACAGTGTTCCCGTACCATCAGACAGTGTTTCCCTTTGTACCCTTGCCCTCCACTCTATACCTGTAGAGAAAGCGAGTGGTGTTGGATGATGACGACGAGGAGGAGCAAGCAGGGCCCAGTGCCAAGCGGCCTGCACTGGTACCACCACACAGTGTTCCCGTACCATCAGACAGTGTTTCCCTTTGTACCCTTGCCCTCCACTCTATACCTGTAGAGAAAGCGAGTGGTGTTGGATGATGACGACGAGGAGGAGCAAGCAGGGCCCAGTGCCAAGCGGCCTGCACTGGTACCACCACACAGTGTTCCCGTACCATCAGACAGTGTTTCCCTTTGTACCCTTGCCCTCCACTCTATACCTGTAGAGAAAGCGAGTGGTGTTGGATGATGATGACGAGGAGGAGCAAGCAGGGCCCAGTGCCAAGCGGCCTGCACTGGTACCACCACACAGTGTTCCCGTACCATCAGACAGTGTTTCCCTTTGTACCCTTGCCCTCCACTCTATACCTGTAGAGAAAGCGAGTGGTGTTGGATGATGACGACGAGGAGGAGCAAGCAGGGCCCAGTGCCAAGCGGCCTGCACTGGTACCACCACACAGTGTTCCCGGACCATCAGACAGTGTTTCCCTTTGTACCCTTGCCCTCCACTCTATACCTGTAGAGAAAGCGAGTGGTGTTGGATGATGACGACGAGGAGGAGCAAGCAGGGCCCAGTGCCAAGCGGCCTGCACTGGTACCACCACACAGTGTTCCCGTACCATCAGACAGTGTTTCCCTTTGTACCCTTGCCCTCCACTCTATACCTGTAGAGAAAGCGAGTGGTGTTGGATGATGACGACGAGGAGGAGCAAGCAGGGCCCAGTGCCAAGCGGCCTGCACTGGTACCACCACACAGTGTTCCCGTACCATCAGACAGTGTTTCCCTTTGTACCCTTGCCCTCCACTCTATACCTGTAGAGAAAGCGAGTGGTGTTGGATGATGACGACGAGGAGGAGCAAGCAGGGCCCAGTGCCAAGCGGCCTGCACTGGCCGCACCACCACACAGTGTTTCCCATTTCTGCCCTTGCACCGCACCCCACCGCACCGCACTTGCAGAGAAAGCGAGTGGTCTTGGACGATGACGATGAGGAGGAGCAAGTGGGGCCCATTGCCAAGCGGCCTGCACTGGTACCACCACACAGTGTTCCCATACCATCAGACAGTGTTTCCCTTTGTACCCTTGCCCTCCACTCTATACCTGTAGAGAAAGCGAGTGGTGTTGGATGATGACGACGAGGAGGAGCAAGCAGGGCCCAGTGCCAAGCGGCCTGCACTGGTACCACCACACAGTGTTCCCGTACCATCAGACAGTGTTTCCCTTTGTACCCTTGCCCTCCACTCTATACCTGTAGAGAAAGCGAGTGGTGTTGGATGATGACGACGAGGAGGAGCAAGCGGGGCCCAGTGCCAAGCGGCCTGCACTGGCCGCACCACCACACAGTGTTCCCCATTTCTGCCCTTGCACCGCACCCCACCGCACCTCCCTTGCAGAGGAAGCGAGTGGTCTTGGATGATGACGATGAGGAGGAGCAAGCGGGGCCCAGTGCCAAGAGGCTTGCAACGGGGGCGGCACCACACAATGTTTCCCATTTCTGCCTATGCACTGCACCCACCACACCGCACCCCACCACACCGCACCCCACCGCACCGCACTTGCAGAGGAAGCGAGTGGTTTTGGATGACGATGATGATGAGGAGCAAGCGGGGCCCAGTGCCAAGCGGCCTGCCACAGGGGCTGCAGCAGGTGGAGGGGAGAAGCAGGGAGGAGGAGGGGAGGACTCTGGCGTGCTGTGGCGGGTGAACTATGAGGAGTTTCTTAGACGAACGAGACACCAGGTGGGTTGTGGGTGGTTGGGAGGAGAACAGCGCACCAGGTAGGCAGCCAACAAGACACCAGGAGTGAAGCAGGGATGAGGAGGGGAGGACTCTGGCGGCGTGCTGTGGCGGGTGAACTATGAGGAGTTTCTCAGGCGAACGAGACACCAGGTTGGTTCTGGTGGGAAGATTCCATGCACCAGGTGGGCTTCATGTGGGAAGAGAACAAGGCACCAGGTGTGCAGCAAAGCAGGGAGGAGGGGAGGACTCTGGCGTGCTGTGGCGGATGAAACACGAGGAATTTCTCAGGAGAACGGGACACCAGGTGGGAAATTTTCAGATGCAAAAAAAACAGTGAAGGGTTTTCCGGTAGAATGGGACACACACCAAGTGGGGGCCTCTGTTACTGCTGTCACTACCGTGCTTGCTCTTTCCCCTCCCTGACAACCCACTTTCCCACACCCAATTCCCGACACCCTCTTCCTTCCCCACACCCATATCCGCCACTCTTCACCCCTCTCCACCCCTCTCCACCAGACCATAGTGGACTTTGTGCGAGAGAGCATCGACCCCGGCGCTTCCATCATCACTGCCGCCCTGCTGCATGCCGGAAAGAACCAGGAAACTTCCCTTCGACACCCGTACTCAGGTAGCGTACCTCAATCCCTAGATTTGATTCCTTCGATTCCTTTGGTGCTTTCTCAAGACACGAGCATTGCCATGCCATGAGCTTTACGATGAGAAAATAAGTCAGTGGACTCAAAGGTCGGCTTTATGATGTCACACCTCTAGATTGAGAGGCTCATGATGAGCCGTATTAGTAACATGACGCATATGAGCAATACAAGTCGTATGAGGTTATGGGCCATCTGGGTCATACGAGCCAACTGAGGCTATGGCGCTCAACCGAATCAGACCCCTTTCCACCGCTTTGCTCTCCCGGTTACGCCTTCCCTCCCAGCGTCTCTCTCCCTGGACTCGATAGTCAATGCAGTGCGGGCCACAGCAGACGGTCGCACCATGGCCCTCAATCGCATCAGACCCCTCTGCACCTCTTACTCCCCTCCCAGCATCCCTCCTAAACACCTCCCCTTCCCTGCCCTCCCAGCGTCTCTCTCCCTGGACTCTATAGTCAATGCAGTGCGAGGCACAGAAGACGGTCGCACCATGGCCCTGGATCCGGATCGGATCAGATCAGACCCCTCTCCACCCCTTTGTTTTCCTGTTTCCCTCTTCGCCCTCTACTCCCCTCCCAGCGTCCCTCTCCCTGGACTCAATAGTGAATGCAGTGCGAGGCACAGAAGACGGTCGCACCATGGCTCTTGATCGCATCAGGGCAGCTCTGCAGCTGCTCGTTGCTCATCCCAGCGCCGTGGCTTCTCGCTCCTCCGACGCTCACTACACCATCCGTGAGTCATCGATCTGCACATGTCAAACGTGAGTCATCAATCTGCACATGTCAAACGTGACTCATCAATCTGTACATGTCAAACGTGAGTCATCAATCTGCACATGTCAAACGTGAGTCATCAATCTGCACATGTCAAACGTGAGTCATCAATCTGCACATGTCAAACGTGAGTGATCCAATCCAATTTCACATGTCAAACTACTCAGAGTTGAGTTATATATACGTTGCACCACGAGCATGTAATCCAATCCAATTCCGCTAACCTTGTTGTGTGAGCGTGCCTGTGCTTGCATGTGTACGTGTGTATGCATGTGTGAATGCATGTGTGCATGCATGTGTGAATGTATGGATGGCTTGTGAATGCACAACGTGTGAATGGTCATTTCTGCTGTTGCCTGTCAGAATCTGCAAAGATTATCGAGCTAGTGAAACTCAGAGAGGTGTGTTGACTTGAGTTGACTGACACGGAGGTGCGTTGACCAGAGTTGACTCATGGATCGCGGGGCTATCGTTAGAGGGTTCGTTCATTCAATAGTACTTGTGATTACTCCATTAACTCTTGCCTTATAAATGCGCATAAACTTTGATTTACTCCCCGTTCCTTCATTCCACGGGCAATGTTGCTTGTTTATATCTTCTTCTTCTTTTGGATTGATTGTAGCAACATTTTATATCACATCCCTCACGGTGTTGTGCTGACTTTGTCTGTTCACAACGTGGTGGCCTTTGTAGGTAACCCTAAATCAGTTCTCGTCATATGCTCATCATCATTACCACTTCGTTCATCCATTTCTAAGCCTTGACACATATGTATCACGTTGAGGGTTACCTACAAAGTGGTGTCAATGCCAGTCCCACGGAGGGAGACTACCGTGCGTCCATGCTTTGGGCCTTCTCTCACTCAATGCCCCACTTCTCCAACCTGTCAACCTCGCCCGTCCCACTACTGGTTACTCAGGTGGAGGCCATTGTTTCTCAACGTTTCGGCCCTTCTGCCTGCCGATTGTTCCGCCTGCTGCTGTCCAAGAACTGCTTGGAGCAGAAGCAGGTGGGATGGTGGGAAAGGGGGAGCGGGGGGAGGAGGGGGGCGGAGGCTAACCTAGCACAAAGAGCAGAGGTGGCAGGTATTTCATCGTATCTCAACGCTTCGAGCCTTCTGCCTGCCCACTGTTCTGCCTACTGCCCTCCAAGACCTGCCTGGAGCAGAAGCAGGTGAGATGGTGGGAGGGGGAATCGGGGAGGGAAGGATATTACTGAAGGTTGTTTAGGGATTTCAGAATTCACCCCCCTTTTCTTTGTCCCAATCAATTTTCCAAACCTAAAAGAAATTTCGAAATAGCTGTGCAGCACGAGGTATTGGGGAGGCGGCCACGCTGTATGACAGGTGAGAGGCTGTTTTTCCTTTTCATTTCACTGATCCAATTTCTACCGGGAAAAACTGGCTGATGCTGTATTGCACGGGGCAGCTCTTCATCGCATCGACCATCCCTCTAATGTGTGCGAACTTCGTTCACCTATTGAAGGGCGGCCTAAAAATACTATGGACCCGAAGAAAACCTGAACTTTGGCCTCACGGATGACCAGAAAATGAGAAATTGAATGGGGGTGCGAAGGCTCCTTTTTTCTGGTCATCCATGAGGTCAAAATTCAGTTTTTTCTTCGGGTCCAAAATATTTGTACGCCGGCCTGCAAAAGGAGAACGATCTTCGCACACTTTAGAGGGCTCATTGATGCGATGAAGAGCTGCCCTTGCAATACTGCATCAATCAGTTTTGCCCGGTAGAAAAGAAAAGAAAAACAGCCTCTCGGCCGCCTCCTGTGGGCTGCATCACGCATGCACTCACAAATAACCTGATTTATGGCCTCTTTTTTTTTCCTCTTTTTTTTCCTCCCATTTTCGTAAAGAGGGAATTGGGGAGGCGGACCATGCCCGACAACAGCCAGGTGTGGGTAACACCAAAAGGGGTACCCCTCCACCGTTTCTCTTACCGGTTCTCTCACTTCCCGTATCTCATCAGCCCTCTCTCTCCATCTCTCTTCCCATGCCACTAGGCAGCGGAGCTGGCGATATCTCTTGCGGACGCACAGCAGCTGCTCTACCGAATGACCCTATTTTTTCCCTCTCTCCATCTCTCCCCACCCCACTCCATCTCTCGTACGATCCCACCAGGCGGCGGAACTTGCGATGATATCTCTTGCGGACGCACGGCAGCTGCTCTACCGAATGATGCTGGATGAGTTTGTGCAGCTGCAGGTATGGCGTAGTCTTGTATGTGTGATCGTCTTGTCTCCGCTAGATGGGCTGTATGTGTATGAATGCTGTATACGTCTCTACTTGCGCAGCTGCTCTACCGAATGATGCTGGACGAGTTTGTGCAGCTGCAGGTATGATGTAGTTGCATGTGGGCATGCATGCTACTCCACCTAGCTTCTCTAAACATGCTTGCAGCTGCGCAGCTGCTCTACCGTATGATGCTGGGCGAGTTAGTGCAGCTGCAGGTATGGCATGGATGAGTGCAGGTATGGTGTGCTGTGGATGCATGTGCGAGATACTCTACCTAGCTCCTCTAGGGCCGAGGCGTGCTTGTATGCACAGCAGCTGCTCTACCGGATGATGCTGGACGAGTTTGTGCAGCTGCAGGTGCGTGAGGCTGTGTTTGCAGGATCAGCTGCAGGTGCGGTACGGTACGATGGTTGTATAAGGTGTTACCCTGTAGCCCTGCTGCTTGCGCACCTGCTCTACCGCATGATGCTGGACGAGTTTGTGTAGCTGCAGGCATGGTGTGGATGAGTGCAGGTGCGGGTATTGCAGCTGCAGGCATGGTGTGGATGAGTGCAGGTGCGGGTATTGCAGCTGCAGGCATGAGATCATTGTATGTCCTCCGAGTCTAGATTTTGATTTCTCTGTTTATTGCGCACCTGGCATGGCAGCAACTCCCTTTTTCACTCCCAGTTCTGCCCCACATGCTCTTACCCTGCCAATATCCTCCCTCTTCTGCTCACCTGCCACACAGGAAGTCCCCAAGATGGCAGACCACACATTCACACAGGTCCTCAAAGAACCTTTTATCTCTGGCTCATTCACACAGCACTGGTTCTGCCCAATATGCATTCTTGATCTCCTCTGCCCCTCTCTTTTTGTTACAGCAAGTTCCCAAGACAGCGGATCATGCCCCTCAGAGGACATTCTACCTCTGGCACATTCACATCGCAACGGTTCTGCCCCGCGTGCATTCTTCACCCCACCAGCAGCGGTTCTGCCTTGCGTGCATTCTTCACCCCACCAGCAGCGGTTCTGCCTTGCGTGCATTCTTCACCCCACCAGCAGCGGTTCTGCCTTGCGTGCATTCTTCACCCCACCAGCAGCGGTTCTGCCGTGCGTGCATTCTTCACCCCACCAGCAGCGGTTCTGCCTTGCGTGCATTCTTCACCCCACCAGCAGCGGTTCTGCCTTGCGTGCATTCTTCACCCCACCAGCAGCGGTTCTGCCTTGCGTGCATTCTTCACCCCACCAGCAGCGGTTCTGCCTTGCGTGCATTCTTCACCCCACCAGCAGCGGTTCTGCCTTGCGTGCGTTCTTCACCCCACCAGCAGCGGTTCTGCCTTGCGTGCATTCTTCACCCCACCAGCAGCGGTTCTGCCTTGCGTGCATTCTTCACCCCACCAGCAGCGGTTCTGCCCCGCGTGCATTCTTCACCCCACCAGCAGCGGTTCTGCCTTGCGTGCATTCTTCACCCCACCAGCAGCGGTTCTGCCTTGCGTGCATTCTTCACCCCACCAGCAGCGGTTCTGCCTTGCGTGCATTCTTCACCCCACCAGCAGCGGTTCTGCCTTGCGTGCATTCTTCACCCCACCAGCAGCGGTTCTGCCTTGCGTGCGTTCTTCACCCCACCAGCAGCGGTTCTGCCTTGCGTGCATTCTTCACCCCACCAGCAGCGGTTCTGCCTTGCGTGCATTCTTCACCCCACCAGCAGCGGTTCTGCCCCGCGTGCATTCTTCACCCCACCAGCAGCGGTTCTGCCTTGCGTGCATTCTTCACCCCACCAGCAGCGGTTCTGCCTTGCGTGCATTCTTCACCCCACCAGCAGCGGTTCTGCCTTGCGTGCATTCTTCACCCCACCAGCAGCGGTTCTGCCCCGCGTGCATTCTTCACCCCACCAGCAGCGGTTCTGCCTTGCGTGCATTCTTCACCCCACCAGCAGCGGTTCTGCCTTGCGTGCATTCTTCACCCCACCAGCAGCGGTTCTGCCTTGCGTGCATTCTTCACCCCACCAGCAGCGGTTCTGCCTTGCGTGCATTCTTCACCCCACCAGCAGCGGTTCTGCCTTGCGTGCATTCTTCACCCCACCAGCAGCGGTTCTGCCTTGCGTGCATTCTTCCCCCCACCAGCAGCGGTTCTGCCTTGCGTGCATTCTTCACCCCACCAGCAGCGGTTCTGCCTTGCGTGCATTCTTCACCCCACCAGCAGCGGTTCTGCCTTGCGTGCATTCTTCACCCCACCAGCAGCGGTTCTGCCTTGCGTGCATTCTTCACCCCACCAGCAGCGGTTCTGCCTTGCGTGCATTCTTCACCCCACCAGCAGCGGTTCTGCCTTGCGTGCATTCTTCACCCCACCAGCAGCGGTTCTGCCCCGCGTGCATTCTTCACCCCACCAGCAGCGGTTCTGCCTTGCGTGCATTCTTCACCCCACCAGCAGCGGTTCTGCCTTGCGTGCATTCTTCACCCCACCAGCAGCGGTTCTGCCTTGCGTGCATTCTTCACCCCACCAGCAGCGGTTCTGCCTTGCGTGCATTCTTCCCCCCACCAGCAGCGGTTCTGCCTTGCGTGCATTCTTCACCCCACCAGCAGCGGTTCTGGCACATCCACATCGCGACTGTCCTGCCCCTTGCTGTCCTTGTACCTCTGGTGCATTCCTGATTCCCCTTGCCACAATCTCCCCCTCTGCTGCTCACCTGTATCTCGCCTCCACAGGAAGTCCCCAAGACGGCTGATCATGCCCCTCAAAGGACCTTCTACCTCTGGCGCATCCACATCGGGACGGTTCTGCCCCGCGTGCTCAACCACATGTGCCATGGCGCATGCAACCTGCGGCTGAGGCTGGAGCATGAAATGCAGCAGGAGCAGGAGGTGAGAGAGGGAGGTAAAGGTTGTGCAGGAGTTTTGGTCTCTCAGCAAGACTAAAGCGGCATCAGCAGTAAGCTAACACATGGCAGCAACAGTTCTGCCCCGCGTGCTGAACCACATGTGCCATGGTGCATGCGACCTGCGGCTGAGGCTGGAGCATGAAATGCAGCAGGAGCAGGAGGTGAGAGAGAAGGAGAGGGGAGTGTGTGACTTGGGATGGGAGAGTGCTTGATGGTTCTGTCCTGCCCCGCGTGCTGAACCTCATGTGCCACGGTGCCAAAGCCTGAGGCTGGAGCATGAAATGCAGCAGGAGCAGGAGGTGAGGGAGACGGCAGAGTGGTGGTAAACAAGCACCACAGCAGGGTTATTTTGAGAATTCTCAAGTTGTTTTTAGAATTCTCAAGGTTTTTTTGAGAATTCTCAAAAAAGCCCTGCGGCAGAGTGGTGGTAAACAAGCACCACAGCACAGGCGGTGCTGCCAGTTCTGCTGGTGGTGGCGGGGTCCCAGAGAAGGCAGTGGCATTGAAGTCAGGGCAGAGGAAGCAACTGGAGAGGATACGGCGAGCGCTGTTCTCTCACCCATGTGTGTGTTACCCATGTCCGTACCACCCATGTGTGCTTGAACCCATGTGCGAATCCACCAGGTGCTGTCTCTCCTGGAGCAAATAGAACAGGCGCATGCATCACACAGCACAGGTGGTGCTGCCAGTTCCGCTGGTGGTGGTGGTGGGGCGCCAGAGAAGGCAGTGGCGTTGACGTCAGGGCAGAGGAAGCAGCTGGAGAGAAGCATGGGCTATTCAGCGAGTGCCTCTCACCCATCATGCTTATAACCCGTGTGCTTATAACCTCCTGTGACTCCACCAGGTGCTCTCTCTCTTGGAGCAAATAGAACAGGCGCATGCAGCACACAGCACAAGCGGTGTTGCCAGTTCCGCTGGTGGTGGTGGTGGGGCGCCGGAGAAGGCAGTGGCGTTGACGTCAGGGCAGAGGAAGCAGCTGGAGAGGATACGACAAGTGCTGTGCTTCTCACCCATGTGTTCGTAACCCATGTGCTTGTAACCCGTGTGTGACTTAACCAGGTGCTGTCTCTCCTGGAGCAGATAGAGCAGGCGCACGCAGCACCTGGTGGTGGCGGTGCTGGCGGGGCGCCAGAGAAGGCAGTGGCGTTGACGTCAGGGCAGAGGAAGCAGCTGGAGAGGATCCGGCGAGTGGCGGCTGTTCTGGAGACCTCACTGCTGCGCCTTGACGATACGATTACTCTCTTCTCTGCGTTCTGACTTCCAGCCTGACTGGGAGCAGGGGGGTAAGGCGGAGCAGAGGGGAGCAGGTAGAGCAGGCAGCAGGCAGGAGTGCCATTCAGTGGTGGTGGTGGTGGTGCTGCTGGTGGTGACGTCAGGGCAGAGGAAGCAGCTGGAGAGGATAGGGCGAGTGGCGGCAGTGCTGGAGACCTCACTGCTGCGTCTTGACGATACAATCACACTTTTCTCTGCGTTCTAAGGTCCGGTCAGGGGTGCCATTCAGTGGTGGTGCTGCTGCTGGTGAAAGGAGGGCAGAGGAAGCAGCTGGAGAGTATTCGGGAGTGGCGGTGGTGCTACTCTAGCTGTTTGTTATTTTGCTTTAAGCCTAGCTTCACTACTGCTGCTCCCTGAGAATTATGTCTGAAGATCTGCTGGTGAAAGGAGGGCAGAGGAAGCAGCTGGAGAGGATACGGCGAGTGGTGGCAGTGCTGGAGACCTCATTGCTGCACCTTGACGATATGATTACGCTCTTCTCTGCGTTTTAAGGGTGGCTGGGAGATGGGCTGCAGGGCAATTCAACGCCTCATTTTCACATCAGTGCTGGAGACATCATTGCTGCGCCTTGACGATGCCATCGTCACTCTCTTCTCCACATTTTAAGGGTGGCTTGGAGGTTGGGGAGTGGAGGGAGCAGGGATAGTAGGGCAGCAGTGCAGCACAAAGCCTCGCTATATAGCCCTAGCTGCTGCGCGTTGCGATGCCATCACTCTGTTTTCTGCATTCATGTCGGCTAACAGTACCAGTTCTGTAATTTTCTCCTTTGATTATGTTTGCCCGCCACCATTCTCCAGTACACCACACCGCAACCGGTACCTTAGATCTGGTTTCAGCATGCTCCTATGAGAAGCATGCTCCTGTCACAAAGCATGCTCCCTTGCTCCTCTCATTCGACCCATCCCTAGTGTTTTACCTCTCCTGAGTAGATTGCAGAACTTGGCAAACACAAGTGAGACTGACAATACAGCACAGCAGTGTCAAGACAAAGTGGATTAATCTGGTCACCACTTGAAAGAAAACGGTTCCAAATACGCAACCTACGAGCACACAAAAGAAAGAAAACAAGAAAAAAATAACAAACACAGAACACACACACAAACACACACGACAACCTAATGACAGAATGACTGTTTATCCCTCGCAAGAGCAGGTATGTCGACGAATGAAAGACGGCAAGTCTTCCGACAAAGCAATTTTTCCCCGCACAAGAAACGGGAAGCATTGTATTGCACAAAATTTCACCACCGCCCCATGTCTCCACCATGGGTGCTTGCTTTGCCCCCCAAATCCCCACCAATGTAGACAATCCATGGCTCGAATTGAAAACCATCCCGGGATCGAAATGAGGTGCCTTTTGAGTCGACTCAAAGATCCCCACCAATGTAGATAATCCATGGCTCGAAAACCATCCCGGGATCGAAATGGCCCTGCCCTGCACTGCTTCTGCGCCAGCCAATGAGGAGACCAATAAGACGAGGAACCATCAGCGACCCGAGGCAGTTTGCTCGCAATTGCCACCACCCAAAGCGTTCTCGAGCTGAAGAAACAACAGCAACCGCCCGCTGTTCCTGCTTCTGCTTAACCAAAACCACCAATGTTCCTGCAGCTGGAAGAAGGTTCAACCACTGAAACTGATGCACCCGCGAGAATTTTCTGCCACCGAAATTTCTGAAGCTGCAACTGGTACTGAAAGCCCTGTAACTGCAGCTGCACCTGCCTAATAAAACTGTTACCATGCCACCAACGCCACTGCATCTCAGACAGCTGCTGCTGATTTCAAAAAGTTTCCGAAAAAAAAACTACCTATCTTCACAACCCCTGAGATCAAACTCTTCCCAATCAAACCACACCCACTGCCACTGCAACCGTAGCCGCTCCAAATGCTGCCATAGAATCAAAGCTCCAGATTCTGACCCTGCTGCCAAAAAAAACTGCTTTGGAACCGATCATTACTGTCAAATGCAGACCACACCATGACTTTTCTGCAGACCGATAACCGAATGCTGGCGCTATGACTGGAACACTGAAAGCTGGCGCTATGACTGGAACACTGAAAGCTGGCGCTACCCTTAGCAGCGGCAGCTGCTGCTGGTGCTGCTGCTGGTGGTTCCGATGCTGCCAATTCCGGCTTCGTGCGCAAATGAATGGACGAATAAGGCTCAGAATCAAAGCCAGCCAACCGCCCCATGGTCACGTAGATGAATGTGATCAACCGTCCCATCCACGTCAGCTTAGTCAGAAGAGTTGATTAAAAAGAGATGATTATTCCCAACTGTCCCTCCCTCTCTCCAGCATACCCGTAAAAAGTGGGCTGCTGTATCCGTCCTCAGAACGATCGAAAGACTTGAAGGAACAAAAAGGACAAAAACAAAATGTGCGAAGACAATCAGCAGGAAGGCCAGACGGTGTGTTACTCCGCTGCTGCGACTGCAGCAGCAGCAGGAATAGGTGCCGAGACATAAGGTGCAGCAGAGACCGAGAGAGGGGCAGCAGAAGTGGGAGCGGAAGAAAGAGGAGCAGGAGGAGCAGCAACAGACAAGGCATGGGACGCGAGCTCTGCCGGTTTGAGGGACTGGGTGATGGGCAGGCGGGTGGAGAAGGCGAGATCGAGGAGAGAGATCGAGGGGCGGGATGGGGAGGAGAGCACGGGAGACACGGACGAGAGGAGTGGGCTGGAGAAGGGGGTGGAGACGCGGGGAGCAGCAGCAGGAGTGGTGGCGTGGGCAGCATTTGAATCATCAGCAGCAGGAGGAGGAGCAGCAGCAGCAGCAGCAGCAGCAGGTAGTGGTGAGGAGGAGGAGGCTGCTTCTGCAGCTGCACTGCCATCAGCAGCGGGTGCTGGGGACTTAGGAGGAGACTGTGAAAGGGGAGCGGGTGGCGGAGATGAGGTGGCGGCGGTGGTTCCAGCAGCGGTGGTGGACGGGGAAGCGACTGGCTTGGAGATGACGTGTAGCATTTCCCGCATGGCAGCCTGGAAAAGGGTGAGATGGGTGAGGGAGCGAGTGTGGGAGGGAGTGAGAGGGAGGAGGGAGGTACAGACGATTAGAAACGCGGTGGTGGCAGTGGAAAGGGTGGGGAGGAGAGGGGCTTGGAGATGACATGAGGGACTTCTTGCATGGTCACAACCATGTGAAATACTTACTTGGTTTTCTGGGCATTTGATGTCGAAAATGCGCTGCTTCTGAATGTACATCCCAAGTGTTGGAAAATCCCCCGTGTTGATTTTGTCTAACTGACTGCCAAACACATGCACACTCACATACCCCCCCTCTCCCCCCCCCCACACAACCCCCCCCCCCCCCCCTCCCCCCTCCCCACCCCACACACACAAACCTGCACATGCCACATGGCAAACGAGCCCGAGCAGATGTTGGCCTCGGGGCGGAGCGGGTCGTCAATCCAGAGAGCAGTTTCAACCGACAACACCACACACAAACCCACACACCAGCACGTGCACACCCATGCTCATACCCCCCCCCCCCCGCACACACCTGCACGTGCCACATGGCAAACGAGCCTGAGCCGATGTTGGCACCGGGGCGGAGCGGGTCGTCAATCCAGAGAGCAGCCGGCGGCATGGAGGGGTCGCGCCAGAACACGCCGCCCGGCATGCCATTCAGACCCTGGGAGAAGTGGAGAATGATCAAGAATCAGAATGATCAAGAATCAGAATGATCAAGAATCAGAATGATCAAGAATCAGAATGAGAAGCGAGAGGGTAGTCAGTCGCAGCAGCCGCAGCAGGAGGCATACAGGGGTCTCTCCAGAACACTCCCTTCTCACTTCCTCTCAGAATGAGCCCCAAGCGAGACCGGTCGATCTCCTGACCGAACAGGTCAAAGAAGCCTGTTGGCATCAGAAACTTTCTATTGTCAAAGAAGCCAATGTGTGTTCAGTTTTGAGGTGCATCAGAAACTTTCTATTGTCTCACTTGCCCTGAAAATGAGGCGCACGCAAAGAATGCCAATTTTCCTGACCGAGAAGTTCACACCAACGGATCTTCTCACCAACTATTTTACCAAATCGACTAATAAAACGTTTTACTTACCCTGAGAATGAGGCGCACGCGAGAAAGGTCAATCTCCTGACCAAACAGATGCAGGAAGCCGATAAGCAGCACTCCCAGGTTCGGCACAGGTACGGACTGCGCCGAACCAGGCAAGTCGTCCACCACTACCCCCTTCACAGGTCCGTCCGCTGCAGTCACTGACGCCACTTCACCCGCCTTGCTGCTGTTGCTATTCTCAGCAGCTGATGGTTTTTCTTTTGTGCCAGATGCAGCATCAGCATCTGAAGACCCGGCAGCAGCACCATCACCAGCAGCAGCAGCAGCAGCAGCAGTAGTGGCGTCATCGCCGCCCGAAGCAGCAGCTGCGGCAGTGGTAACACTATCTGAAGCAGTCACATTTTCCGCTGAAGCAGCAGCAGCAGCATCAGCATCATTATCAGCAGCAGCAGCATCACCACTGGCTTGCTCAACCTTGGAGTCTGCAGACTTGGATCCTGGTGACTTGGTTGCTGCCTCAGCAGGAGCAGTAGTAGCAGGAGGGGGGGACATGCCACATGCGACAGGAGCTCTCTGCAGGGATGGGAAGAAAAGGAGAGAACAGACACACAGAAGTGTTGAGCACCAGACTTCAGCAGCATCAGCACCACCAGCGGCATTGCCATTAGGTTGCTCAACCTTAGAATCTGCAAACTTGGATCCTGGTGACTTGGCTGCTGCCTCAGCAGGAGCAGCAGCAGGAGGGTGAAACATGCCACATGCGACAGGGGCTCTCTGGAGGGATAAAGGAGGAGGCAGGACCACACCAGGGGTGGTGAGGATACAACAGGGGTTGGGAACTCACCACAGCGCACAAAAAGGAGAACACATCTCCGTAGAAAACAGACACCTTAGTCAAGAAACCCGAATTGTGGGTTGCTCAAAGAATGTACATCAAATCGAGTTGAACGACGCCAGGGAGCAGGGTAAAAGGAGGCTCAGGCAACACACATTGAGGTAAACGGCGAGCATCATAGTCAGAGAGAAGGATCATTCGAGGATGCTCGTCGAGGAACAACGACAATCATAGTCCTTCGAATACAAAGGACCATTCGAAGGATTCAAAGGCGGCCAAAGTGCGTACCTCCAGGTAAAAGACGAGCATCATGGTGAGGGAGAAGGACCCGAGCCCGCCAGTGTAGACGTCCTTGAGACCCCGGTGGTGCAGGTAGGACTTCATCAGCAGCACCTGGAGAGTGGAAAGAGGACAAACGGGAGGGAGAAAGGAGTGGAAAGCAGGCAGGGGGGTGGAAATAGGCA